AGGAGCAGGAAAGCTGATGTTTCGGGTCTAGAAGGGTCTAGGCCCGAAACGTCAGCCTTCCTGCTCCTCTGATGCTGCTTGGCCTGCTGTGCTCATCCAGCTCTACACCTTGTTATCTCAGATTCTCCAGCATCGGCAGTTCCTACTATCTCAGTAAACTCATTAAGCTGTTTCATTTGATTAATGAAGTTTTAATGGAAAAAAACAGGATTTATAACCTGAAATTTAGAGCTAGGTCATTCAAGAATGATGTCGAAGGCACCTTTTTCACACAAAGCTTAGTGAAAATCTGGAACTCTCTTTCCCCAGACAGCTGTTGATGACGAGAGGAGTTGACTGAAGTGGGATTTGATAGATTTATGTGACAAGATTGAAGGTGGTTATGGAATGGAGGAGGGTTAATGGAGATCAATTATGGAATAACTATGATCTATGTGATGGTGGAAATGGTTCAATGGCCTTTCCTATTGGTTGCATAAAACAAAACAAAAGGGGAAATCACCAATCCAGATCTATCAGCTAGGAGTTATACCACAGGAAATAACCTACAGGAATCAAGTAGGACTCCAGTCAAGGATGATGTTGTCTATTGGTTGTCTCTCTCTCAATCGGCAAATTATGTGGATTGGAATATGAAATAGCCTCTTAAAACTGAAATATCAGATCAGACATGTGGAGCAGACCTGAAGGGGCTGAATAGCCTACTTCTGCTCTTACATTCAACACAAGCACAGCTGACAAGCATACATCAGGGGACCCCATCAAAATGTTGACGGAAATTTTGATTTCTTTGTATCCAATATTCTAATGAGGAACATTTGCAAGCAAGTACCACAGCAGCATGGTGGCTCAGCGGTTAGCACTGCTGCCTCACAGCGCCAGGGACCCAGGTTCGATTCCACCCTCAGGCGACTGTCTGTCTGTGTGGAGTTTGCACATTCTCCCGGCGTCTGTGTGGGCTTCCTCCTGGTGCTCTGGTTTCCTCCCACAGTCCAAAGATGTGCAGATTAGGTGGATTGGCTGTGCTAAATTGTCCAGAGATGTGCAGGCTAGGTGGATTAGCCATTAGAAATGCAGGGATAGGGGTAGGCTCTTCAGAGGGTCAGTGTAGACTTGATGGGCCACACTGTAGGGATTCTATGAGCCTTCGGCAAGCCTGGGGATTTGGGCAAATCTTCCCACACAGCACAGGAAAAATACGACCAGATTCTTCCCAATGGTGAAATGAGGAGCAAAATCCAAGTAGCTCAACCCTCATCGAATCATTTGCATAACAAGAAATTTTGGCGTATTTGCACTCACCACATGTTCTCAAGGATCCTGAAGATGAGCAGGTTTTGTCCATACAGAATGGGAACGACAATAAGAAAGGCAAACAGTAGGAAGCAGCTGAAGAATACCACTTGCTGAATGAGGAGGCCTAAAGGGGAGATTCACAGGAATGAGATGGCAACGTCGTTTTGTTTTGAAACATACAGTAAGACACAAAATATATTCAATAAAAACTGAAAGGAGTGCGGATGCTGGAGATCAGAAACAAAGACAGAAGTTGCTGGAAAAGCTCAGCAGGTCTGGCAGCATCTGTGGACAGAAAATCAGAGCTAATGTTTCGGGTTGAGTGACTCTTCCTCACAGAACTGATGGTAGCGAGGAAGATGTTGGTTTACATGTGGAAGATAGGGTGGGGGGGGGGAGACGGCCCAAAGAGAGAGAGAACAACAGTTGGGCAGGCAAAGGAAAATATATTTCAATTCCTTTCTTGGGTGGGTTGGGGAGGCAGGGGACACGTTGGCAGATACTTCCAGTGTCTATGCTGGTCTTCTGTCAACCTCATGTGCTAAAAACAGAGCTATGCCTTGTTAGTTTACCCACTTGCTTTCTCAACCATGGTAAAAACACTCACCACACCAATCAGTTTAGGAATAGTTTGAACAATAAAATTTAAAATAGATTAATAGTTTAAAAAAATTTTAAAAATCTCAAACAAATTAATGTCATCAAGTTCAGACCAAGTGGCTCCCTTCAGCTTCATTCCAGAATCATTTAATTGCCTCAAAAAGGCTTGAAGTGTAAATATTAACGTGAAATCAGTGGATGATGAAAAGGAGATTTTCTGTCGTAGGAGAGTTGAGGAGTATGAGGCATTTCGCATTTACAATAGAAATAAATGAGCGTTTTCTCTTTCAGAGTAGACCATGTGGAACTTGATTTGATGGCTGCAGCTCTAACAACATTTAGGAAGCTTGACACCAAAGCAGTCTACATCCACAAACATTCAGTTCCTGCACCACTGACATTCACACTTGCTGCTACTGAGCCATCTACAAGATGCACTAATGAAAATCACTAAGGCTCCTAAGACAACACCTTCCAAACCCATGACCAAGATACAGGAAGCAGATACATGGAAACACCACCTTCTGCAAGATCCCCTCCAAGCCACTCTCCATCCTGACTAGGAAATATATCTTTACTGTTGCTGGGTCAAAATCCTAAAATTCCCTCCCTGAGGGCATTGTGGGTCTACATACATCACATGAACTGCTGCAGTTCAAGAAGGCAGCTCACCACCACTTTCTCAAGGGGCAATTAGGGACAGGCAATAAATGCTGGCCTAACCTGCTATAACAACCACCCATGGATGAAGGAAAAAGTAACTTGTTTCACCAGAGAGCAGTAGATGCAGGATCATGCAATATTTAACGGCAGAGATAGGCAGATTGTTTACACTAACAAGGGAATCCAAAGGAGAAAATGGGAGCTGAGAAAGTAGATCTGAGACCACAGAGATCAATCACGATCTCATCAAATGGCAAAGCAGGTTTGAGGAACCAAATGGCATACTACGCCACTCTACTCATATGTTCACATGTGCACACCATATGCTCACGAGTGCAAATGTGTAATTCTCAAGCCTGCTGTTGTAAGGGAGATCACTTTTAAAACAGGTGAAACCTTGCCTTAAGAAAAGCAAAATTAAGTAAATTAAGTTTTACACAGATTAAGTAAATAGATGAAGTTATTCTGTTCACCACTCGATTCTAAGGTGTTTTAACAATACTTCATTGTAACAAGCCTTTAAATATTTGAATCCTCCACACGTCACAAAAATAATGCAGTAAAAGGGGAAGTTAGGCAAAGACATGAAAGAGAAAGGAATAGAGGAAATGTTATTAGGGTTTAATGAAAGGGTGGGAAGAGGCTTGGGTGGAGCATAAAGAGCACTGGTGTCAAATAGGATGTTCCAACAGAGAAATAGGCGAAGTTAGTTCATATACACAACAGGAATATTTGATGCAAGAGGATACAGATTGTAAATTTTCCACCTCTTGAACTTAGAGATAGAGCTTTCCCATATCCAGTAATGCACCAGGCCAACAAGGCAAATATATATGTGAGTTTTTCCATGGCCAGCTTTTCCCTTGAACAGGTCACTAACCTGGTCCCGTAACTTTGAAAAGCAACACTCTGCATTGAGTATGGCTGACCAGGAATCTCTCACCTGCTGTTGGCACATGTTGGAAGGATTTACAGGACACTCACCTGTTTGGCCATGTTATGAACACATCTTCCTTGACCATTAAGTTCTGGAGTGGGGTTTGAACCTGGAGCTTCTGGCTTAGAAGAAGGGACACTACCCTCTGCACCAGAAGGACACCCCTTCAGTTCCTGGAAGAAGGTGACAATTGATCAAGTGATATTACTGGGATCATAAAAAGAAGAAAGGGCCTGCATTCTATCTTGACCATTGCCTTCTTCAGAGAATATCTAGAGACAAACTAATTCCGTGCTCAAATATAGAACCAAAATAAAACCGTGATAAAACAGTCCATTAGCAGATACCCAAACAGATGAATGCAGCCTGGTAACTGGTGAAGCTCATCCAACAGACAATGGCAGAGCGGGAGAGTCTGACAGACCTGTTACGATTGAAGACTTTTTGTGTGTCTCCTCTGAAAAGAGCCTGCAGGTTGTCCCTATAACAGAGCAAAGACCATGTCAGATTTAACATAGTGTTTATCTACCAATGTGCACAGATATTAAACCTAAAAGTCCTGCAGGCAGTAAGGAAGGCAAATGGTATGTTGACCTTTGAGTATAGGAGCAAAGATGTCTTGCTGCAACTGTACAGGGTCTTAGTGAGACCACACCCAGAATATTGTGGCGGTTTTGGTCTCTTTATCGGAAGGAAGGATGTTTTGGCGATGGAGAGAGTGCAATAAAGGTTTACTAGACTCATCCCTGGGATGACAGGACTGACGTATGAAGACCGGATCAGTTAGGACTATAGTCACTGGGGTTTTAAAGTATGAATAACAGGATCTCATTGAAACCTATAAAATATTAACAGTACCATACAGTGTTAAACACAAGAAGGATATTCTGATGAGCCCAGAACTGGAGGTGTCACAGTATGGGGTATGGCATAGGCCAATTAGGACTAAGCTGAGGAGAGATTTCTTCACCCAGAAAGTGGTGAGCCTGTGGAACTCTTAGAAAGCAGTCGAAGCCGAGATATTGAACATTTTCAAGAGGGGGTTACATATAGTTTATTTTTTAGGGCTAAATGGATCCGAGGGTATGGAGAGAAATCAGCAACAGGGTACCAAGTTGGATGATCAACCAAGATCCTAATGAATGGAAATTAGGCCTGAATGGCCTATTCCTGTTCCTAATGGTGCTCAATAAACACAATTAGATCATCATTGTCCAACAAACACCTACATAGCACCTTTAAATATTAAGTACTGCATGTTATTGTTCAAGACATACATTCCATTAAAGCTATTAAAATTAATAAAAAGCCCATGAGCTCTAAGAAACTCAAACAGAAAATAAAAAGTAAAAATGATCCACAATTAGAAGTTGGGGGAGGATGTGTGTGTGTTTATCCTAAGAAGACTGTCCTGCATCAGATCTATTTAAAAAGTACATTTGAAATATTAGTGAGATGTGATGTCTTTGTAAAGAGAAAGCACCTATGGAAATACATTAGCAGGGGCATTTTCTCTACGCCAGTTACAAATGGCAGGAGATCCTGCCATATCAGGTGAGATGACAGAACCAGAAACCTTATATTTTTGATGTTACCTGTGCAAAACCATTGACCTCATTAATGTAGAGAGGGTAAGGAAACAGGATACAGCCACTGCTGACACGTAGCACACTGTTGAGGAAAAAGGAGGAGTCAAATTATCTCCTGCCACACCGTCCTGACATTATCCATATGGTACTACACATGTGAACAAGAAGCAGTAAGCCATTCAGTCCCTTGTGCCTGCTGCACCATTCAATAAGATCACAACTGACCTGACTGTGACCTCAAATTCACATTCTTGCCTACACCCCTTATATCTCCTGGTCACACCAAGGGTCTATCCAGGTTAATGTTTCGTGTCCAGTGATCCCTCTTAGAACAGGATTTCTGAAGAAGGGTCACTGGACCTGAAACGTTAAACCTGATTTCTCTCCACAGATGCTGCCAGACCAGCTGAGATTTTCCATTGCATAGCAATTGACTTACAACTTGTCAAAATGACATTCTTACTTGTGGCTCATGACAGCCTGGATAACAAACCCAATACCGGAGCAACTGGTGTTCGGATTGTCATCTATCGACCCATAGTACTGTTCTTTTACTTGGAATTTTGGGAAGAGAGAGAGAGTATTTTTGCTTCAGACTTCCAGCATCTGCAGTTCTTTCGGAAATTTTTGCCTACGGATCTATCCGTGTTTGTCTTTAAAAGATATTCGAAGATTCTGCTTTCATCGCCTTTTCAGACAGAGCGTTCCAAAGACTTACAACTCTCAGAGACAGAAGAATTCACCTGGCTTCAGTTTTAAACAGATAATCCCTTATTTTTAAACAGTGGCCTCTATGTCCTAGATTCTCTCACACAGCATCCTTTCCGCACTCAGGGTCTTATATGTTTCAATCATGTCGCCTCTTACTGTGCAAAACTCCAACAGATACAAACCTCGTCTCGCCAGAAACCTCTACTTTCTATTGCCATAATTCCAAGTAAAAAAGTCAGATAGTGCTGTAGTTTGATAGAAGACAGCCCAAAAACTGACTGCTCTGGTAGTGGGTCTATTGCTCAGGCTGTAATGAGCCACAAGGAAGATTGCAATTTTGACAAATTGAACATCAATTTCCTTGCAACGAACAAGTGAATCCTTCCAAGCCAAATACTCAAATCTTTCATCTGTGAATTTAAATAACCTTCTGTGGAAATTAGCTTAGCCAACTTACTGTTGGTGCGGATCAGGCCATTTTTTGTGCAGTGATTACTCACTTTCTGAGAACGTACAGACATTGCATTGCTCTGAAGAAGGGTCTAGGCCCGGAACGTCAGCCTTCCAGCTCCTATGATGCTGCTTGGCCTGCTGTGTTCATCCGGCTCTACACCTTGTTATCTCAGATTCTCCAGCATCTGCAGTTCCTACTATCTCTTGCTCTGTACTTGGTTCCTTTTGTTCCAATTGTAACAAGTCAGTCAGATCCAAACTGGAGAGAATAGATCTGAAAGACGTGTGAGCTGAATATTAAATCATTTATAAAATCAAAATGATCTCAGTTGTTGTTGCCAGATTATTAGGAAGTTGTATCCTCCCTAGTTGCTGTGGTAAGATTCCAATAAGCTACAGTGTTGGTTGGCACTGAGATATTAGTGGTGGTCATTTTATTCTTCTTAATCCAAAAAGCCAAACTGAATAGCATTCGATCCGTACCTTCCACAACCCAAATGTAATATTTAACGATGCTCAGAACTTCACTCCTATCTTCTGAGAGATTGATGCCAAAACCTTCAAGTGTGTAGGATACATGTTCCTGGACTCCAGCTCGCATCCTCTGTAGAACAGGGACGAGGTACAATACAAGCAGAAGGGCAAACTATAGGGGTAAACAAAACATGATTAGGATTATTTAAAATGTGGTAAAGGCAAAAGGAATATACAACCTAGAAAAAAAAAAATCAGAAGTGAGACATGGGACAGCTGGATCAAAAAGAGTGTGAAGAGAAACAAACGCAGGCTTGAATTAATAGATGGGCAATGACAATATTCACTCAGGCCACAGACTTAACCCATCCAACTTGACCCAGTACACGTTACTTTCACTGCTGCATTTAATACCAAGCCATGTTTATACAATGCAACTTGTGACATCTCAAAGCGTTTCCAGTGTAGGAAATGCAGCGGTTAGTTTTGTGCACAGCAAGTTCCCATAAACAGCAAGGTCATAAATTATCAGATCATCTGTTTTAGTGATTCACTATTTGTTTTCTTTGAAGACAATTGCATCTAGAATCATGGAATGCCTACAGTGTAGAAAGAGGCCATTTGGCCCATCGAATCTGCACTGACTCCTCAAAGAGCATCCCAAACAGGCACAGCCTCACTCTACCCTATTCCCTGTAACTCTGCATTTCCCATGGCTAACCCACCTAGCCCGCACATCCTTGGACACCATGGGGAAATTTAGCATGGCCAACCTACCTAACCTGCCCATCTTTGGACTGTGGGAGGAACCCAGAGGAAACCCATGCAGACACAGGGAGAATGTGCAAAGTTTGCCAGTCAGCCAAGGATGGAATCGAACCCAGGTCCCTGGTGCTGTGAGGCAGCAGTGCTAACCACTGAGCCACCATACAGCCCACAGACAGGGATTTAGCATCTCCTCTGAAAGACAGCACTTCCACCTATGTAGCACCGAGTCTGAGCTCAAGATTCTGAATTCTCTCCACACCTTAACACCATGAATTCTCATGATCCTGCAAAAAGATGGGTCTCGATGACAAAGTCTCTTCTGTCCAGTTGATCTCAGCTGGCCACTTTGCCAACTGAACCATTCTCTCATGACATCATTTGATTAGTCAAAAGTCTAGAGTGACGATCCTCAATGGTTGGTTTGGAGAGAAGCATCCGCAGGCAAAATTAATTGCGAATCAAGCGAGCGCCTTCATTGTGAAGGGATGGCATTCTTCAAAGTATACACAAAAACTTCGCTTCCCACACTCAAATATCAAGTACAAAACAAACTGCCGAGACAAACTGGTAAGAGGGCTTTTCAGAATACTGAGAATCAGTATAAATCCTACTTAAGTGAGCATTCTAAAGAGAGGACAAACCATAATATAATATATAAATACAGAGAGCAAGAGCTTCTACAGGTACTTCAATAATAGGCTAGTCAGCTGGACATCTGTCATTGGGAATGTGTTAGAATCAATTACTAACAAAATTATAGTTGGACACTGGAAAAACTCAATCAAGAAGGGTGAGCATAGTTCTGTGAAAGGAAAACTGTTTTACTAAACTATTAGAGTCCTTTGAACATATGCTGTGGATGAAGGTGAGCCTGCAGATATACTGCACTTGAAGACATTTGACAAGGTCCCTCAGAAAGGTTATTGCATAAGTTAAGAGCACATGTAGCAGGTAACATAGTAGCATAGATAGGAGATTGGCTGGAAAACAAAAAACAGATGTATCTTCTTCTGATTGGCGAGATGTGATGACTGGATTCCCATTGGGGTTTGCGTTGGGCTTCAGATTTTTACAATTTATAATAAAGACTTAGATGAAGGGAGGAATGGCATTGTAGCTAACCTTGCCAAATGACACGAAGGTAGGTTGGACATCCCATGGAGTATGGTGGGGTTCACTTTAGCAGGAAGAATAATAAAAAACAGAGCATTAGTTAAATGGAGAATATCTGCAGAATTCCGAGGTGCAGAGGGATCTGGGTGTTGTACTGCATGAGTGACAAATAGTTTGTGTGCAAGTTAAACAAGAGATTAAGAGGATTAATAGGATGCTAACCTTCATTATAAGAGGATTTGAACATGAGAGTAAGGATGCCATGGGCATTTGGTGAGACCACACTGCAGATTTATCTCCTTATTTAAAGGAAGTGCATCAATATGTTGGAGACAATTCAGAGAAGTTGATAAAAATATCAAGAAAAAGGGAAATACTCTTCTGCTTTTGAAAATTCTCTCCTGCAGCACTGAAATTTAACAATGATTGCTGGATTCCTTCTTGTCAAGTGGTCTGTCCAAAGGCAGCTCTAACTCTGCAGACCTCCCATGGGCTAGGGATAGAGAGATAGGTCCCAAATCCAACCGGAGCATGGATTGAACCCCATGCTGCTGGCACCAGTCTGATCCACAACGGCCAAATGGCTCCAAGGGATTCCAGGTTGCTGTGGCTACATACATTTTAACCTGAGCATGTTTGGCTCAGAGCTATGGATAGCGATGGTGGAAGTTTCCATCTCCATTTTAACCAGAACTCCCTCCCACCTCACCACCTTCCATCCAGGAGTGTTGATGAAAGGATTTACCAGTTGAACCTCAACCTGTCTATATTATGAACACACCTTCCTTAGCTATCAAGTAATGGGTGGGACTTGAACCTAGAACTCCTGGGTTCAGAAGCAGCAATGTTTCCCACTGCATGAGACCTCGAAAGATCGGATTTAAACCTGTTACAACATCAGTCATTTTTGAACCCACGGCAGGAAAGTATCAATTTCAGAACATAAAGTCGGCAATGCTGATTTAAGATCAACTTTTTAACAACATTTACCTGATAGACAGAAATGACAGCCACTGTCATTGATACAACCAGTTTTGTTGGAATTCGGAACCCTTGATGAAAAGAAAAGGATTGTTTTAAGAAAAAAGCAAGCAAAGAAGTCCCTTCTCTCGATTTCCCCCAATAACATTGTTTGGAAGTATGGGCAAGGGGTGGGTTAGTGATAATATCACTGGAATAGTAATCCAGAACGCCAGGTACATGGGTTCAATCCCTAGCATGGCCGATAGTGAAATTTGAACTCAATAAAAATCTGGAATTAAAACGATGATCATGTAACCATTGTCGATCATCTTAAGAACCCATCTGGCTCCTTCAGGGAAGACAATTTGGAACCCTTACCTGGTCTGGCCTCCATATAACTTCAGGCCCACGGCAAAATTCTGGGCAATAAATGGCCATACCCCCGTGAATGAACAATTTAAAACAAAAAGGAATCAGTCTGTATCCACAAATTCAGGGACGGATTCAAACCTTTCAGTTGGAAGGACTCCAGCACTTACACAGGTTCTCCCTACAAAAGTTTCTGAGTGAGCAGGGCCAGCAACTCTTTGAGCCCGATAGAGCCCGTACAGAGGAGGAAAGGCTCAGTGTGACTGACAGAAATAAAATCGCATTAGGAATCAGGAATGCTGAGGATTTCACACCATGAGAACAAACTAGGACACCTCTAGGTGCCTCAACTTGGACTTTACTAGTTTCAAAATCTCCCCACCCCCAGCCTCATCCCATGACAAACCCTCACTCTCATCCCCACCTCCTTGACCTGTCTGTCTTCTCTCCCACCTATCCGACCAATCCCCACCACTCTCTTCCTGCACTCACCTATCACCATCCCACCTACCTTCCACAGCCCCACCCCTCCTCTCTATTAATTTCGGAGCTCCTTTCCCCTCCACCCCCCCATTTCTGAAGAAGAGTCCTGACCCGAAATGTCAGCTTTCCTGCTCCTCTGATGCTGCCTGGCCTGCTGTGTTCCTCCAGCTCCACACTGTGTCACCTCTAGTTTGACATGGGGAGGCAATGGCCTAGTGGTATTATCGCTGGACTGTTAATCCTGAGACCCAGGCAATGTTCTGGGGATGTGGGTTCAAATCTCACCATAGCAAATGGTGGAATTTGAATTCAGTTAAAATCTGAAATCACAAATCCATTGTGGATTGTCTGGAAGAACTCATCTGGTTCACTAATGCCCTTCAGAGAGAGAAACTGGCCTACAAGTGACTCCAGATCCAAAACAATGTGATTGTCTCCTAAATGCCCTCTGGGAAATTAGTTGCAATAAATACACACCTAGCCAGTGATTCCATCATCCCATGAATGAATTAAAAAATAACTTACATTAAAACTAACAGAATTCTTCAGCCAGCTTAGATTTCTTTGGAGCTACTCTGATTTCTATCCCATCCCTCCACCAAGGTGTAGACTTTTAAAAAGATTGTTCTCCAGGGAAAATTGAAATTAATTAGGTAATCAAAGTGAAAAAGGTGGTAAATAAATAAAGGGGTGATTCATTTCACTGGATGGTTTAAAGGGCACAGTTTTTAGATTATTGAAAAATGAATCCAAGAAACATTTCTTTTAAATAAGTGTCACTTCTCATCACCTGGAACCTTTCTCCTAAAAGGGAAACTCAATGGTATTTTTAAAAAGAAAGGATGCAGGTAGAATTTCCAAGACTAATTGGTTGGCTTGTTCAAAGAGCTCTCACAGGAATGATAGGCTGAACGGCCTCCTCCTTTTGCTGAGTGACCCTGTGAGATGAAAGGGAGGATCAGAGTCAGTGTCCCTGCAGGAGCTGGGAGCGATTGAGCCAGAGCAGCCGAACACAGGCGATGTAAGGAATTCACAGAATAGCATCAGTACAGTAACTCCAGCTTTAAAGGTTTTACCTTCTATCGGTAAATAGACGTATGATCGTATCAACATCTCCATCCTGATCCAGAGGCTTGGTCGATCTGTACTGACACTAAAAAGAGGGGACAGGAAGAAAAACAAACAAGAGAATAAAATGCACACAAAGCTCTCGAAGTTCCACTTCTTAAAGTCACACAACTCCATTTTGTCTGAATATGGTAAAAATCTGTGTTATGGAGCATGCAGGTTAATCCAAAACGCTGAACAATGGGGACCTATAATCACTCAGGGCAGAGGGCAAGGTGTTGCTGCATCTGAGAGGGGTTGAGGGGCGTTGGGACACAACTGAACAGGAGAGTGAGCGACTGAGAGACAGACAGAGTGCTGACCCAGCACACCCAGGCATTCACAGTAAAACAAGCACAGCTGAAGACTAGATTGACACCACAACCTTCTGATCAATTTTTCAGGAAGAAAGGAAATTTTGAGCTGTCAGTTTCACCCACAGTTGCTCTGAGTGAAGTATCCACGATCAGGAACAGTAACCAAAGCTGACCCAATGACTGAACCATTGCAATGCAAAGCAGAAGAATGACCTCTGCTGATTCCCCATCTCCTGTTATTATTGATAGGCTCTTTTCCATAAAAGGAAAGCATTAGCTAAAGACTGAAAGTGACCAGCTTGAATTGGGCTGTCAGGCATTCTGATTCCTAGAGAACGTTGGTTGGGAGATAACAAGGTGTAGAGCTGGATGAACACAGCTGGCTAAGCAGCATCAGAGGAGCAGGAAGGCTGACGTTTCGGGCCTAGACCCTTCTTCAGAAATATTGGGAGATGCTGGATAACACAATGTTTACTGTAGTTATTAAAAACAGGCTTCCACAATAGGATAGAGGGTCAATGTTACCATTTCGCTGAGCTGCACAAACTTGTTACCATGCCCATTACAATCAAAGTGGTGTCCAGGATGTTGCTATCAGCTCTGTATATACACACACGCGCACTGGCAATGGTTGAATGGAGTAGCCGCAAATGGGACAAGGTACCAAGAGTGGCAATAGTCTAGAGAAACCAGAGCGAGTTGAAAGTCAAATGCTATTGTAGGATGTCCAATGACGTCAATAAACGTGGAGCTGGAAAAGCACAGGAGGTTAGGCAGCATCTGAGGAGCAGGGAAGGCCGAAACCCTTTGTCAGTCCTGCGCATTTCCAGCTTCACATTTATTGACTCTAGCTTCCAGCATCTGCAGTCCTTACTGTCTCCAAGTGTCCAAAGAGGTGCAGGTCAGGTGGATTAGCCATGTTAAATTGCCCTGTAGTATCTAAAGATGCGTAGGCTCGGTGGGTTAGCCATGGTAAATTCAGTGTTACACGGATAGGGTGGGGGTTGGGGACTCTTGAGGGTCAGTGCAGACTTCAATGGGCTGAATGGTCTTTATCTACACAGTTTGGATTCTACGATTCTATGACAGGAAAACACACACGAACAGAGTAATTTACTAACCTGTTTTTGCATGGCCTCTTCCTCAGCAAAATCTTTAAGTAATCAGTGTAATATTTATCAACTGGACACTGAGGAGGAAACCAGAACTTGGTGAGGGAAGACTGCACAGATTCGGATGTAATACCTCCCCACCATTCACAACTGACCAGGTAACACCATCACTTAATGTTTACCAACAAAGAAGTTAAATCCCAGTTTAATACTGACAACAGGAAGGAACTTTTCCCCTTGGTGGAGTGATCAAGGACCAGGTACAGATTGAAGGTAAGGGACGGAAGGTTTAAAAGGTGACTGAGTTGGATGATCAGCCATGATCAGATTAAACGGTGAACTTGGCTTAAACGGTGAACAGCTGCCCAAGTTGTCCTGGGTGATTCCAGCATTTTTATCACCTTATGGGAGTCCACTGCAGATGCTGATCATGTGTCACACAAAAAGCATCCCCCCCTCCAGCAATGTCCATCATGTATCACATGAAAAACATTTCCTCCCCCCAGCTATGACCAGAGTGTCACATGAAAAACATTCCCCTAGCTATGTCCACTTGTCCCGTGAAAAACGTTTGCCATCAGCCTTGATCTCATGTTGCATGAAAAATGTTCCTCCTGCTTCCTTGATTGTGTGTAGCTTGAGAAACACTCCTTGAATCATGTGTTGCATGAAAAGCATTCCTCCTACCACTATAGTTGAAGTCTATTTTCTTTGTCATTCTCCCAGTTTGATTCTGTTCTGGCTTTAGTTCAGTGTCATAGTTAAATGTTGGTGTAATTGTAAATATTAATCTGGGATACGCAGGCTAATCCAGGGATGATTTGCTGAGGTAGTAGTCCTGCTAATGAAAACTTTTATTTGGAAAAGTCTCAAGGTAGGTCTTGAAGATACCAAGTGATGGAGCTGAGACTAATTTTAATAATTAAAGGATTTTAATAGCTCCCTGGATTTACCCAAAATCCACCTCTATAAAGCCCACACCTCAAAGCGAAGTCCCAGACCAGAAACCCACACTGCCCAGAGATAAATCTGACACTTACCTGATGCAAGGGCAGATTTTGTGAAGTCCTGCCATTTCTCAGCAGCAACAAAGAATAAATGAGACTTAGAAATGCCAGGCATATCAGCTGGGGCAGACTTCTCAGCAGGGAGTAGTATTCATGCAACTGGACAGGCAAACAAAATTTTAATAAAAGTAAGAAATATGTCAAGAATGGAAAATGATAGAATCACAATGATTACAGCACAGAAACAGGCCATTTGGCCTATCATGTCTCTGCTGGTTCTCCGCAATTCAGAGTCTCACTCCTTGCAATGGGGAATGTTTTGACTTCAGATAATCTATCATAATCTAATATGGTCCAAATGTGACCTAATGGAACAAGAGAATGGTAATATTCCCTCCTCACCCTCCAATAAATATATTTGGCAATTAATGTACTAGTCGTTTTGGATCACTGTCCTGAGATGTACAAGTTGGACCTGTATGCGTTATTTGCACATTTTACTGATTTTTCCTTCTAGGTTTAAGAGTTAGAGTTAATTGAATATAAATTTTGGAGGGGGTTGGTTTTATGAAACGTGATTAGCTGAACGAAAGCCCTCCCCAGAAGTATGGGCTTGGACTGTACTCAAAAACCTGCATCTTCTGGTGGTAAAACATAATGATCCATTCAAAAGCCTCGACTAATCCTGCCTCCATCTCCCTCCCGGGCAGTGAATTCCAGACCATAACCACTCACTGCACGAGGATGATTTTCCCCTCGCGGCACCCTTAGTTCTTTTGTCGATGGCTTCAGACTAAATTGAGGAACGTTTTGTGAATCTCTGCCTTCCCTCTTGTCTCAGGCAGTGAGCTGCTTCCGTTTGTGACCCACCTTGCAGCCAAGGCCGTAAAACAGAAACCTGGCATTTAGTAGGGTCGGTCACCACCTTAGGATGTTCCAAAGGGGTTTATAACCAATTTAGAACTTTGAAAGTGTGGTCAATGTCGGAATGAGTCTGCAATTGTGGAATGTGAAGGATTGTTATGTTTTGGATCAGTCTCTTGAATTTGGGGTAAAAACAGAACAACAAAAAGGACAAATCTGCAACCTGTTCTGAATTCTGCCTGACAACAAGCTCAAATGCTCGGTTGTAAAATGGAAGGCATAGGATGTCTAAGCGTGGGCAGGGTGTCTGTAGTTATGACTGTAATCAGTGACAAGAGGATGTTGCACTGATGGTGGAGAGAATGTTTGTCTTCAGGTCACAGGCTCAAAATGGCCTACTCCTGCTTCTAAACTCACAGAGAGGCATTACCAGCATCAGGTTTCCTAAAAAACATCCACATTAGGTGTAGGAGTAGGCCAGTCAGCCCCTCAAGCCTGATCTGCTATTCAACTTACGGCTCATCTATTCCACTTTCCTGCTTATCCCCTGGCAAGCTTTGACTCCGTCATTAATCAAAACAGCTCAGGATTGAACACAGCATTGACAGAGCAAGATCTGACCAAGGGTTTGAGCTCCTAAATTTGGAGAGACAATACAGTAACTATTAAAAAGGGAAGACAATATATTCTAGTCCTGTGGCCTTGCATCATATGGACTGGCCAAAGTTTTAAGATCAAGGAAGAGCAGCAGGGATAGCTAGCTTTGTGATAAGCACTGGACTGGAGTACAAAATAAAGCATAACTCAAAGTTTTAAATTTTTTATTCACTTGTGGGATGTGGGCATCGCGGGCTGGCCAGCTGAGTTTCTGGATTAATAGTCTAGTGATACCACCACTAAGCCATCACCTTCCCAGTAAACCGAGTAAACAGCAACAGTGGTCATTTTACACAGTGACAAACTAGGCAATTAAGTGAAAAAGGATGGACCAGATCTAAAAGTTAAAAGTTCAAAATTGGAGGAAGGTCAATTTTCCCGGTTTAAGGCAAGAACTTTCAAAAGTTGATTGGGGGCGGATATTTGCAGGTAAAGGGAATCCTGGACAATCGGAAGCCTTCAAAAATGAGATAAATGAGTCCAGAGACAGTATGTTCCTATTAGGGTGAAGGGCAAGGCTGGTAGGTGTAGGGAATGCTGGATGACTAGAGAAATTGAGGTTTTGGTCAAGAATAAGGAGGAAGCATATGTCAGGTATAGACTGCAGGGATTGAGTGAATCCTTAGAAGAGTATAAAGACAGTAGGAGTACACTTATGAGGGAAATCAGGAGGGCAAAAAGGGGACATGAGATAATTTTTGCAAATAGACTTAAAAGGAGAATCCAATGGCATTCTACAAATACATCAAACACAAAAAAAAGAGTTACTAGGGAGAAAATAGGGCCCCTTAAAGATCAGCAAGGACACCTATGTGTGGAACCGCAGGAGATGGGGGAGATACTACATGAGTATTTGGCACCAGTGTTTACTGTGGAAAAGGATACGGAAGATACAAAACTTGGAAAAGTAAAATAGCAACATCCTGATAAATGTCCATATTACAGAGGATGTAGTGCTGGACATCTTAAAATGTGTAAAGGTAGATAAATTCCCAGGACCTGATCAGGTGTACCCTAAAACTCCATGGGAAGTCAGGGAAGAGATTGCTGGGCCCTTTGCCGAGAGATTTGTATCATCGATAGCCACAGGTGAGGTGCTGGAAGACTGGAGGTTGGCTAACATGGTGTCACTATGTAAGAAATTCAGTTAAGGAAAAGCCAGGGAACTATAGACCAGTGAGCCTGACATCAGGTGCAGGCAAGTTGTTAGAGGGAATCCTGAGGGACAGGATTTACATGTATTCGGAAAGGCAAGGACTGGTTAGGGATAGTCAACATGGCTTTGTGCGTGGGAAATGGTGTCTCACTAACTTTATTGAGTTTTTTGAAGAAGTGACAAAGAGGATTGATGAAGACAGAAGAATGGATATGATCTATATAGACTTCAGTTGGGCATTGAACAATGTTCCTCATGGTAGACTGGTTAGCAAGATTAGATCACAAGGAATACAGGGAGGACTAGTCATTTGAATACAGAACTGGCTCAAAGGTAGAAAATAGAGGGTGGTGTTGGAGGGTTGCTTTTCAGACTGGAGTCCTGTGACCAGTGGTGTGCCACAAGGATTGGTGTTGTGTCCACTTCTTTCGTCATTTTTACAAATGATTTGGATGTGAACATAGGAGGTATGTTTAGCAAGTTTGCAGATGAAACCCAGATTAGAGGTGTAGTGGACAGCGAAGGTTACCTTGGAGTACAATGGGATCTTGATCAGATGTGCTAATGGGCCAAGGAGTGGCAGATGGAGCTTAATTTAGATAAATGTGACGTGATGCATTTTGGAAAGGCAAATCAGGTCAGGACTTATACACTTAATGGTAAGGTCCTGGGGAGCATTGCTGAACAAAAGAGACCTTGGAGTGCAGATGCATAGTTCCTTGAAAGTGGAGTCGCAGCTAGACAGGATAGTGAAGAAGGCGTTTGGTATACTTGCCTTTATTGATCAGTGCATTGAGTACAGGAGTTGGGATGTCATTTTGTGGCTGTACAGGACATTGGTTAGGCCACTTTTGGAATACTGCATTCAATTCTGGTCTCCCTGCTATAGGAATGATGATGTTGTGAAATTTGAAAGGGTTCAGAAAGGATTTACAAGGATGTTGCCAGGGTTGGAGGGTTTGAGCTACAGGGAGAGGCTGAATAGGCTGGGGCTATTTTCCCTGGAGCATCAGAGGCTGAGGGGTGACCTTATAGAAGCTTATAAAATCATGAGGGGCATGGATAAGGTAAATAGTCAAGGTCTTTTCCTCAGGGTAGGGGAGTCCAAAACTAGAGGGCATAGGTTTAAGGGGAGAGAGGAAAGGGACCTAAACAGCAACTTTTTCACGCAGAAGGTGGTGCGTGTGTGGAATGAGTTCCCAGAGGAAGTAGTGGAGGATGATACAATTACAACGTTTAAAAAGCATCTGGATGCATACATGAATAGGAAGGGTTGAGACAGATATGGACCAAATGTTGGCAAATGGGACGAGATTAATTTGGGATATCTGGTTGGCATTGGACGAGTTGGACCAAAGGTGCTGTACATCTCTATGCCTCTTGAGAATTACAGGCCCAGTCTCATCAAGCAAACGTGGGAGAATGCTGGAGAAACTCTGCAACAGCTGTGCAGAGAGAAACAGAGTTAACGTTTTGAGTCTGGTATGACTCTTCCACAGAAGTTTCTCCTCAATGTCTCTGCATAGGATCATCCCCTCAATCCATGAATCAAGTTGGTGAACCTTCAATGCTCTCTTTCTACAGCTAATAAAGAGGCTAGACTGTATATGATACACAAAACAATTGGAGAAAAATAAGGGGATCTTAAACATAAATTTATCTTTGCATCTTTGGACATTATTAATAATTACAAGAGAGAGACAATTACCATCCAATTGGCTAATGAGAAATGTGGCAATGCACCAAAAGGACGGCCATGTTGGATAACCACTGGCAGGAAGTGTGGGGGCAGACCACCAGCAAATCACATAACAAAAACTCATGGATTATAGCCAAACACAGTTGACGTCCTGGACGATAAAGGGGCTTCGTGAGACTAAATGAATTTTAAGTCGTAGGGATAGGTTCTTGCTGAGTTCAGAGGGCTAATATCAGAGAGATAATTTTGTTTTGCAATCAGGGCAAAAGCGGATTGGGAGAGATTTCTTGTCGGTTCCCAGCATTCAGGAGCAGAAGGAGTTGCTTTTTCCTCCCCAGATAATGAGAGAAAAGGATCATTGTACTGGGATTCAACAAATCATTTCACATCGTAACAATAGTAACTCTGTCAGAACAGTAATCGGAATGAGAGCAAATCTCTGATTAAAACGTAAGACAGTTGCATAAGCAGAAAACAAAATAAATCACTACCTTGGATGATAAAGGACATTGAACTTTCTGACAAAGGAGAATGCTAAAGTGTAGCCAGGATAGGACGCTGCCGAGAAAGTAACCCAATTTGTTCTTGACTGTCGCACACACAAGTAGTGGATAGTATAGGGCTGGATAATAAAGCAAGGCAATAATCTTCCAGTATTCTTCAGAGAGAAAAAATAAACAGTTCCAAGTTAGCAATACAATTATTAGCAAAATACACAATGGACCCAAGTTCCACCTCCGATTATAAATATCACATTTTTGATTTTTTTCTTAAAAACACAACATTTATTTATGTCATACAGCAAGAAACACAGTCCAAAATCATTTACTGCCATGATATAGATTACAAATTGTCCAGTTTAAGTTTAGTTTGTACCACTTAACTCATTAGGACTTCCATCTAGAAGGATTGCAGATACGTGCATACAAGACACTTGCCTTCTTGAATCGCCGCAGTCCTTATGCTGTAGGTAGACCCACTTTGCCCTTACAGAGGGAATTCCAGGATTTTGGCCCAGAGTCAGTGAAGGAACGGCAATATATTTCTAAGTCAGGATGGCGAGTGGCTTGGAGGGGAACTTACAGGTGGTGTTCCCATGTATCTGCTGCTCTTGTCTTTCTAGTTGGAAGTGGTCGTGGGTTTGGAAGGTGCTGTCTGGGGGTCTTTGGTGAATTTCTGCAGTGCATCTTGTAGATAGTACACACTGCTGCTACTGAGCGTCAGCGATGGAGGGAGTGAATGCCAGTCAAGCGAGCTGCTTTGTCCTGGATGGTGTCAAGCTTCCGAGTGTTGTTGGAGCTAGCAAGTGGGGAGTATCCTATCACACTCCTGACTTGTGCCTTGTAGATGGTGGACAGGCTTTGGGGAGCCAGGAGGTGAGTTACCTGTTGCAATATTCCTAGCCTCTGACCTGGTCTTGAAGCCACTGTGTTTATGTGGCGAGTCCAGGTGAATTTCTGGTCAATGGTAACCCTTAGGATATTGGCAGTAGAGGATTAAGTGATGGTAACATTCCAAAAACAAACACAGGAAAGTCTTCCATTAAAGTCAAAGGGTAAATGAACTCCGGTATTTTTTTTTCCTTTCTTCGGCCCCCTCTGGAATAATTCCTCATTGAGGCTAAAAGCTATTTTGCCCATTTACCTTTGGTACCCTTTGAAGATTCTGCAAAGGGCAAAGGATTGTCATCAAGGACAACCACACACAAGGAACAAAACAGCACTCCAAACACAGCAGCAGCGATTCCTCTGTGGTAGTCATGCTCGAGGAAGCCAACGGGGCTGTAAATACACAGCATTTACCCAAATTAAAATAAAACGACAAGAGAAAAATTGTTTCTTATAAAGTGGCTTTGAATTGCATTAAAATACCAGGGTAAAATGTGTTTTTTTTTAAAAACCAATGGGATACAAAGTGGATAGAAAGCAGCTGTTCCCCTTAGTGAAAGGGTCTGTATTCTGGATAGAGTGGACACGGAGAAGATGTTTCCACCAGGAGAGACCAGGACCCGAGGGTACCACTTCAGAGCAAAGGGAAGACCCTTTAGAATGGAGTTGAGGAGGAACTTCTTCAGCCAGAGTTTGGTGAATTGGTAAAGTGCATTGCCGCAGAGGGCTACAGAGGCCCAGTCGTTGAGTGACTTTAAGGTAGAGATAGATAGGTTCCTGATTGGTAAGGGGATCAAAGGTTATGGGGAGAAGGCAGGAGGGTGAAACATATCAGCCATGATCAAATGGTGAAGCAGACATGATGGGCTGAATGGACTAATTCTGCTCCTACATCTTATGGTCTCATAGTAACAAAGGGGCACATTGTTAAAGGTGAAAGGAAGGGAGGTTTAGAAGGATTTGAGGAAAACAAATTTCACCCAGAGGGTGGTAGGGAGGGTAACTGAAGCGGGTAACCTCAACCTTTTATACGTACTTGAGTGAGCACTTGAAGTGTCATAACATTCAAGGTCAACTGCTGGAAAGTGGGACAAGTGTAGCTTTAGAATAGTTGTGGTGGTATAGACTTGATGGGCTGAAGGGCTTCTTTGGTACCAAATCATTATGATAATTAGCACACAAGAGAAAAAATTAGAGGAACATTGTTGACAGAAGGTGTAAATGGAGGGGCATATAGGAGGGAGGGAAATGAAGTGATCTTTTCTTAAATCGTTCTAAATCCCTATGATACTTTTAACACAGTATCATAAAATCCCGACAGTGTGGAAGCATTCCAATCAGCCCATCAGGTCTACACTGACCCTCTGAAGAGCATCCCACCCAGACCCACACCCACACCTCCTACCCTGTCCCCTGCATTTCTCATGGCTAACACACCCAGCCTGCACATCCCTGGACACTGAGACAATTTAGCATGGCCAATCCACCCTAACTGCACAACTTTGCACTGTGGGAGGAAACCAGAGCACCCAGAAGAAACCCTTGCAGACATGGGGAGAATGTGCAAACTCCACACAGACAGTTGCCCGAGGATGGAATCGAACCTGGGTCCATGGCGCTGCGAGGGAACACTGCTGATCGCTGAGCCACTGTACCATTCCAAAACAGTGGGACACAGCACAGTAAAAATATGCCAAGGCTTCACAAGAGCTACACCAAATAATAACCACGGAACAGCGAGCCACACAAGGGGCCATTAGCAGAGAGACAGAGAGATAGCATTAAGATCTGTGACCTCTCGCCAGAACTCTCTTTCTCTCTCCGCCAGCTGTGCTCTATTTTCTGTTTTGTTTTAACAGAAGTTTTTCCGTTTGATGGATTCATTGGGAAGATGTACAATGGCTATTTCTTCCTGTAGAAGTCTGTTTTCCTGTTGATATGTTCTGGAGTGTTTCAGTTTGTCGGGTGGCAGAATGAGATAATGTGACAGTTCTGTGCTGTACTAAGAGCCCTGAAACAGCACTGAATAATGCTCCCAGCTCTCTCTCAACAGTAGAATCTTTCCCTTTAAAATGTTAACTTTCAGGAAGTACCAAAAAAAAGTGGTCTGATGCATTTCGACCAATCCCAAACCCTTTTATAAAACAGGATTGATCCTTGTGGATCTGTTCCCAGTGAATCCCACTTCACTCGAGACTCAGCCAAGCACCTGGATTAACAGCTGAACTTAACTCCATTCTGAATCAGAAACTTGGCTTTAAATAAAACTCGTGTGGTTTCTGGGAGACTTGGCTTTTAAAGAAAAACTCATGTGGTTTCTGAGAGACTTAATATTAGTAGCAATGGACAGAAACAAAAACCCCTAAGTAACCACTCAAACTGTAGAAACTCTTAATGAGGTTTGGCTGTAGTGATCCCTGCAGAATAGTATTACACATACAAAAAGTGGGGATTGACCTATTTTTTTTTCTTGGAAACGCTAAGGTTTCAAATCCCACTTTAATGAGGCTCCCCTCGGACTGAATCATCAATGGAGACACAGGATGTTTTAGGGAAGAACAGAGGGAGAAAGAAAAAGATTTATTCCAATCTTTTTTCAAAGCATGCTCATTGCTCAGACCTTTGAGTATAGGAGTTAGGACATTACATTGAGGTTGCACAGGATGTTGGTGAAGCCACTTCTGGAGTATTGTGTCCAGTTCTGGTCACCCTGTTATAGGAAGGATATAATTAAACTGGAGACGGTTCAGAAGTGATTTACCAGGATGTTGCTGGGTTTGGATGGTTTGAGTTATAAGGAGAGTCTGGGACTTTTTTAAAAAAAAAACTCGTGCATAGGAGGCTGACGGGTGACCTTATAGAGGTTTATAAAATAATGACGGATATAGATAAGGTGAATGGCAGGTATGTTTTCCCTAGGGTGGGGGAATTACAAGACGAGGCGGGCATATTTTTAAGATGAGAGGAGAAAGATTTAAAAAAGATGAGAGGCAGCTTTTTTTTTAAAAAACAGAGGGTGGTTCATGTGTGGAATGAACTTCCAGAGGAAGTGGTGGATGCAGGTACAGTTACAATGTTTAAAAGACATTTAGGTAAGTAGATGAATAGCAAATGTTGCGAGGGGTATGGGTCATGTGCAGACAGATGGGACTAGCTTAGTTTGGGATTATGGTTGGCAACAGACAGGTGGGACTGTAAGATCTGTTTCCGTGCTGTATGATTCTATGACTCTATAATAGCGACACCTTCCATAATAATAGACCACCAAGCCTTTTATTGTTGTGAAGAAGAAATTGTTTCACTCTGAATGTAAATGTGGCTGTTAATCCAGGTGCTCGGATGAATTTGGAGTGGAGTGGGATTCACTGGGAACAGATCCACAAGGATCAATCCTGTTTCGTAAAAGGGTTTGGGATTGGTCGAAATGCATCAGACCACTTTTTTTTGGTACTTTCCGAAAGTTAACATTTAAAGGGAGGGATTCTGCCTTGTTCAATGTCTACCTGTTGAGAGAGAGCTGGGAGCATTTATTCGTGTGTTCAGTGCTGCTTGAGGTCTGTTGGTATAGCATCACAACTGTTACATTATCTCATTCTGTCACCCCCAAAACTGAAATAGTCCAGAATGTATCATCAGGAAAACAGACTTCTACAGGAAGAAACAGCCATTGCACATCTCCCCACTGAATCCATCAAATGGAAAAAAACCTCTTGTTGTAATAAGACAGTAAACATTGACAATACTCACCAGAGCTGGCAGTACTTGAAGAGAAACAGAGTTCTGACGAAAGGTCACAGACCTGAACATTAAACTTTGTGTCTCCTTGCATGGCTTGATGTTACATTATTGTCTGGTGCACCTCATGAAACCTTGTGGTGTTTTTAATGTGGGCCATATAACGAGTGGCTGCAAATGGTTTCAGAATTAAGTCAAGGTAAACTTGCCACAGTCCCAACAGACTGTAGGACAGCTCTCTAATGCAGGAGAGAGAGAGAGCAGGCACAAGTGGGGGATGGGAAGAGAGACAGAGAGGGGAGATGAGAGATCAGGCAACAGTGGCAGGGAGAAAGACAGGCAGGCAAATAGAGACACAGAGGGAGATGGAGGCAAGGGGGAAGAGACAGAGAGAGAGAGAGAGAGAGAAAGACACACACACACACACAGACACAGGACTGCTGGTGGTTTAACCTGAGGGTCCCACACCTCAGACAAAGGGCAAGGTTGAGAAGACAGAACCTTCAGGGTAATATCAGCCACCACAGGAATTGAACCCGCACCATTGGCATTACTGTGTTAAAAGGCAGCCATCCAGCCAACTGAGCTAACAGACCCCGTTTTAGAATTATTTATGAGTAGATCACTTTACCTTAAAGGGAGGTAAACCCAAGTAGCTTGCACAGTTCCAGCTTATAAATGAACTTGGAGGAGCAAAAACAGATTAAAAAAGAAAAAATAAATTTAAAACCAGGCCATGCCAGAACAGGGTTGTAGCCTCGTAACCCAGAAGGTGGGACCGTCCTAGTAAACACAGCTGGTGAACAATTTTGTGAGCTTTAAAACCCAGGCTGAAAGACACCGGGATAAACATTGTTAAGTAGGAGGGCTCTCAGTACTGTATGCCTAGCACACTTAACACGGTGATGTATTTACAGCAACTGTCATAGTTTGACCTGAGGAAGCCCAAAGTCTAGTTCACTCAGGGTTCAAACATTGACCCTGAGGGAACTGAATGCCAGCAGACACTTAACTGCAACAGACCAGGCGCTCCACCGCAGCAAGTCCTGCACAGCCGTCTCCGTTTTACAAAGAAGGACAAGAAGACCAGCACCGCAAGCTGAAAAAAAAGACAAAGAATTCTCGGTCAAAATGCAGCAATTAGCCCCCTGCTGAAGGGTCTTGTGCAGAAACAGATCATTCAAACAAACAGGCCTGTTCCAATATTCATTCCACGAGATGACTGATCTGCAACCTAAAAAGGGCCTTTCCATAACAGCCCTAAAGCTCTTTGGTAAACCACAGTTTATCAAACCTCACAACTGATTGAACATGGTAGAGGGTTCCAAATTTCTGCCTTTTCCTTTATGTGTATAAAAATGTTCCCTAATTCTGATCTGGCACGAATTTTTAAAACAATGCCTCCTAGTCATACAACATCGAAACAGGCCCTTCGGACCAAGCTGTCCATATCAACCAGGTTTCTTAAACTGAACTAACCGTATTTGCCTGTGTCCCTCTAAACCTTTCCTATACATGCACCCGTCCAAATGCCTTTTAAATGCTGTAATTGTACTCGCTTCTACCATTTCCTCTGGCAGCTCATTCCATACATGCATCACCCTCTGCATGAAAATGTTGCCCCTCAGGTCTCTTTTAAATTTCTCCCCTCTCGTCTTAAACCTATGTCCTCTAGCTTTGGACTTCCCTACCCTGGGGAAAAAGGCCTGGCTATTCACCTTATCTATGCTCTCATGATTTTATAACTGTCTATAAGGTCACCCCTCAGCCTCCTATGCTCCAGGGAAAATAGCCCCAGCCTCTCCTTATAACTCAAACTTTCCAGTCTTGGTCACGTTCTTGTAAATCTTTTTTCAGTCCTAGGACAAGGAATCTGAACCCTCCACCATCAGAAATAGTCCAGATTAGTTAACTATCGGTTCCCATGTCACTTAGTCAAACGAGGAAATTCCTTTCAGCATCAGTTTCCCCTTGACTGCTAATTTAAAGCCTCTACTCGTGGTGATGTTGTGGGTCAATCTCAACAGAGTCCTGTTTAACATTCTTGCCTCAGTGAGGGGTCATGCACTCCGAACGTTCCTCGCAACTTTAATTTCAAATCAGATGAGGTGGAAGGGGAGAAGAAAGTCAGTGAAAGACTTTTGATCTTTATTGTTTGTGGCGAAAGCCTTTCCGAGGACTGGAAATGTAAGAATTGATGTTCTGAAAAAGGAAACCACTTTTCATAACTAGGGAGCTCAGGGTGTGATCCCATTCTTTCATGGAATATTGCCACTGTTGGCAAGGCCACAATTTGTTCATCCTCAATTTTCTCTGATGCGAGTGGATGTAGAGGCCTGCTAAGAATCAACCACATTGTTGTGGGTCAGGAGTCACATGTAGGTAAGGACATTAGTGAACCAGATTTTTTTTTTAAGAATGCCAATTGATGATAGTCACCATTACAGAGACTAATTTTATATTCAAGATCACATTAATTTCATTTAAATTCCACCAGCTGCCTTGCTGGGATTTGAACCCACGTTCCTAGTGTATTGTCCTAGATCTCTGAATTACTAGAGCAGAGACATTACCACTACACCACTGTCTCCAGAGATGGCATGTTTCGCACCATAGCACTTTGTCAGTGCTGCACCAAGGCTGTCAGGAGCAATGAAGTTGAAAATCTTGCAATGCATGTCAAAACAGTACAAAAAAGACCCAGAATAATGAGAGAAGAAGTGGATTTAACTTTTTCTCCAAAAACATCAAAATGACTGGAATCTTGAAATGAGAAAAGTTGACTCCAGAATCAAAGACATTTGCTATAAAGCACATGCTAAAAGCTGAATGGAGTAAAGAGACATAAAACTTACAGATACCCCCGCCGCACACACATGGTACAACTCAACTGGGATAGTGGGATCACAGATCGTTACGCTACAGAACAAAAAAAAATTCGTGATGAGTACTCGCCACAGTTAAAGGAAAAGCAATCTGAAATTAAGAATAGAATCAGAATGAAAACGTACTCAGCAGGAGGGGTGGTGGGATCCAAACGATCGTCAATGTACCAGTCCGAGTAATCCAGGAAATCGGGCTCGTCAATGTCCAAAGAATCATTCCTGGAATCCATTCTATGCACTGTATCTATCTCACTTGGTCAATGAGCCAATGCAAAGTTGTTCAGATCCTTAGACCGTTGTCTTGTGGTGCCTTGCGCGACTGATCTGGATTAATGACCAAAGCTGTAAAGTACAAAGGCTCCCCTCGATAAATGGTTCTCTCTCTCGCCTTCCCTTACAAGTTGTATTAACACCTCCAGGTCCAACTTCACACTGCGAACAGAGTTAGTGAAATAGCTGGTCAGCTTTATTGTCAAACCAATCTGTTGCAGGATCAATGGTTACCTATGTCCAGGCAGACACACAAAATGCTAAAATATACTCAATATGACCCAGCTTGTGAATATATCAAGGAAGGTTTGTTTCATTTAAAGTAATCAAGTTCAAAATATCTTACAGTAAGGAGATACTTTAGAGAATTGTTTCTAAGTCCAGTAATCATATATTATGCCAAAATTATAACGATCGCTAATGTGGAATTAACTTCAATGTATAAAAAAAAACCCCGAAATATACTCGCTCGGTTGTAATGATATGTTAGTAGCGTCTGGCAAAATGACTCTGAATCACTGCTTGCCATATTTAGAACCGGATTCACTCTCTCTTCAATAGGGGAAGTGGTCGATCAGAGTTTTGAAGTATTCAAACAAATGAACAGGAGATTAAATTGGTGTCCCAGGATGTCAGCATTATAAATGGAGAAGGAAACACAAGCCATTCACACTAAGAGGAGGAAGAGGGAAAACTCTCAGCTATAAATTACCTTTCACATCCAATCTAAGGCTGCCTCGACATTTTAAGATCATCTTCATGTTTGATCTATGGAACCACTTGCATTTGGGAGCTTGCTGTGCATACTTTGGCAGCACTTCTTTTTATAAGTGGCAATGCTTCCCTCTGGCTATACAGCACTTAGGGCCTCCCAGGATCTTGGGATATCCCAATATAAAATCAACTTTGTTTCTGTTGATACTTTATATTAACATTATACATTGCAATGGCTTTTCAGTCATGTGTAGGGATGTCATGGTGTAAGTGCAGAGGTAATAGCATAGCTCCAGGTCGCTAATTTGTCCATTAATACAGCTATTGGCAGAAATACAAAAATAAGAAGAGTACGAAATGAGGAACTTTATTCATTCTAAATAAATAGGAAAATGCCTGGAGAAGAGAACCGGAAATTTCCAGTTATCCGTGATCTGGAACGACTGTAATACAAAGTGGGATAAAGGATTCTTTTTTTAAAAAAACAAAAAGCGAATGGGTTTAGGATGGCGTGGTGGCTTAGTGGTTAGCGTTGCTGCCTCACAGCACCAGGGACCGGAGTGTGATTTTACCCTCGGGGAAAGGGGGGGGGGAGACACGGTGTGGAGTTTGCACATTCTCCCCATGTCTGTGCGGGGTTCCACCGCGTGCTCCGTTTCCTCCCACAGTCCAAAAAGATGTGCAGGTTACGTGGACTAGCCATGCTAAATTGCCCATAGCATTCAGGGATGTGCAGGTTATGTTGGTTAGCTATGGAAATGCAGGGTTACAGGGATAAGGTAGGGAGGTGGGTCTGGGATAGGGTAGGGGGGTGGGTAGGGGGATGCTCTTTGGAGGGTTGGTACCGACCCGTTGGGCCAAATGGCCCATTTCCACAGTGTAGGGATTCTATGAACATTGCATTTGGGATTACTTTTTTAAAAATTCATTCACAGGATGTGGGTGTTGCTGGCTAGATCAGCATTTATTGACCAGAGGGCAGTTAAGAGTCAACGACATTGCTATGGGTCTGGAGTCACATGTAGGCCAGAGGTAAAGATGGCAGTTTCCTTCCCTAAAGGACATTAGTGAATCAGACGGGCTTTTCCGCAATGGGTTAGACTCTTAATTCCATCTTTTACAAATTGAATATAAATTCCACCATCTGCCATGATGGGATTCAAACTCAGGTCCCCCGTCCGGGTCTCTGGATTAACAGTCCAGCAATAACACCACTGGCGTGTCACCTCCCCAGGTGGATGTTTAAAACATAGCTCCTGTGGCATAATTTTGAAAACCCCCAGTAATTATCACTAAAACTCAACATCATCAAAAGCAGATTACCTGTAAGGGTCACATCCTGTACATGACTTTAAAATGCTTTGGAACAACCTGGGGTCAAGAAAGGCACTGAATAAACAAAAGTCTTTGAAGCCAAGCAAAACCATTTTTTACACAAGATTCTGTTTTCTGAAGCACCCTAAAACAATAAATACCTTGTCATTGGAGATAAATGGGCAGAACGTTGAGAGTTTAAAAGAGGACATTCCAGAATTCCGTGTAAATATTTGTGTTAGAGTTGAATTACACACCCTTATTGAAATGAAGGAAAACTGAGGTACAAACTCTATCACTTGTCCTGTGGTGCAAGAGATAGGTCAGACAGCGTCTTCTCCATACGCACTGGTTAGATCCTCACTTTTTAAATGCAATGATAAAATACTCTTGTGAAAATTGTTAAAACACAGATTGCGACACCCAATAAGTTTTCATTATTACCACTTCCGAAGATTAAAGAAGTTGGAGTATATTTTCCCCTCCCTCAAATGCATAACCCTAACAATTAGCAAAGGATCACAGTCAAGTGTTTGCTGTTCTATCATATCAGCTTTAACTAATGGATTAACTATGACCTGGACTAGACTGCAATGCAGGCAAGGTCATAAACCCACTGAACAATCCCAAGACTTTCTCGAAGAAAAATACTTCAGTTGTTCAATTTTCTTTCCCTAAATCAACCATTTTGGGTGGATGATAATACATTGACTCGTCATGATTTAATTCCATGCACAGCAACAGTTCACATTTTGTTTTTTTTTAAATATGTTCTATCCCAAATTATTTCTTCCTACTGCCCAATTTAGAGAAAGGACATCTTGTGACACAATGGGTCGTGTCCCTACCCCTGGGCTAGAAGCTCCAGGTTCAATTCCCAGGCCAGGACTGTCAGCTTTAGAGAGAATATTCACAGCGTAGTTCAAAAGGTTAGTAATCAGCCTGGGAAATCCTTCGACCACTTCCCCAAAAGGACAAAGGCCAAAGGGAAAAAAGTGTGTGAGAAGATATACTTTAAAAATAATTTGGAGAACGGAACAGTTGCCACAATCCCAACTCAGTACAGGCCAAGGATTGAAGCTGGGGATCATTGGTTCATGTAGCATCTCAGCAGAGTTTGTGGTTTCCAGAGTACTGCTTCCTAAAACGTTGCACCGCTCCCCCCCCCCCCCCCCCCCCCCGCCCAACAACTCATTGTGACTCCATTCAGAAGCTTGAAAATGTTCACGACCACTCAGTGAGAACTGAGAGAGAAGATAAATCATGTGGTGGGAGTGGGAAGTCATGAAAGGGAACAGGGGGAACATTTTTGATGTGGAGCAGTTCGTAGAGAAAAAAAAAATTAGAAGTCCAAAATTTTATCCGGCGACCCCAGCTGAGGTCCCTGCCCTGCAGTTAAGGGAACCCTGTTCCAAAGCGGTGTTGTGCAATATAGCGAATGACTGGAACTGACTTCTCAAGCAAAATACACCATTCCGTGTGTGCTCTGGGATTAACTCCATCGTGATGATACTGTCACTTTAAAAGGTTATCTTGTCCTGGCTTTTGTTTTGAAGAGAGATTGTAAGGCAGAGGTGTTGAGCTGTCTCGAAGAAAGTAAACAATTTGAGAGGCCTTGGGGGTTTTATTTTGAAGTTGGAACGATGGAAGCAGCCTGGATGTGGCCTACTCTCACAGACCAGGCCTTCTAGTTTTTTTTTAAAAAAGTTTTTGGGTTTTGTTTTAAGCAGAAGCCTTTGATGTCTCAAAAGAGTTAGAAGCCTCAGTGAACATCTTCTTGCTGCTATTTCCTCCGAATTTTCTTTTGATGTTTTTTCCTCCTGGATTGGAGAACTGCATGTGAGAATCGATGTCTGAATTTGCCTTTTTGGGTTGTTACTATAGTGGAACAGTTAATTAGTAATAGGTACCGTATCTATTATTTGGTTAAGTTTTCCAATAGTTAAGTTATTCCAAGTTTTTTGTTTGTATTTTAACTATAATGTTTAAATATATTGGTGTTTTGCTTAATGTCGACTAGTTTGACCAGTCGCATTGTACCTGGAACACAGCACTTCACATTTACCTTTAAAATAGTGACTAGGCTACATTCTTAAAATATTTTGAGGGGATCTGATCTGGTCCATAACACCAACACTCAACTTTTCCTCCTGTTGCTTACCATACTTGGTTACTAAAAACTCTGTCAATTGCAGTTTTAAAATGAACTCATCCGGCATTAATTGGTATTTCTAGAAGCTCCCATTACCATCTCCATGAGGATGTGTTCCTAGTTCCAGTCTGTAAAAGTCTAGGGCTAATTTTTAAACTTACTCCAATTGTAGATGCCCTAAACAATGGAAATAGTTTCTTGTAGTCTACCCGATCCATTTCCCTTTAATAATTTCAAAATGTTGATCAAAATGCCCCTTGAACTGTTGAATTCCAGAGAACACAATTTGTACAGTTATGGTCTGGTCACAGGCATGGATTCCACGCTAATCCCATGAAATTTTAGTCTAAAGCATTTCAGGCGCTCAAAATCCAGGTTGAATTTACTTTATATGGAGTCACAGAGTCATACAGCACAGAAACAGACCTTTTGGTACAACCAGTCCATGCTGAACATAATCCCAAACTAAAATAGTCCCACCTGCCTGCTCCTGGCCCATATCCCTCCAAACTTTTCCTATTCATGTATCTATCCAAATGTCTTTTAAAGGTTGTAACTGAACTCAGGAAGTTCATTCCACATGTGAACCACCCTCTGTGTAATTGCCTCATGTCTTTTTTTAAAAATCGCTCTCCTCTCACCTTAAAAATGTGCTCCCTAGTCTTGAAATCCCCCATCCTAGGGAAAAGACAACTACTATTAACTCTTTCTACACCTCTCATTATTTTTAAAATTTTTATCAGGTCGCCTCTCAACCTCCTATTTGCACCATCTACTGATTCAGTAAGAAAGCGTGTCACATCAAACAACAATGACCCAACACTGCTTTCCATTTTATCACATGTGCACAAACAGGTTAGAGTTCAGTCACTGTGAATATAAGAACCTTAAGCTCAGATGCTTAACAGCCATCTATTACACATTTTTTAAATCACTGGTCAGACACTTCTGGTTTACCCATTAGCCACATGTGGCTAATTTACTGCACAACAGTGGCTTAAATCCACCAGGTCATGAGGTCTGCTGATGTCTCCTTCCTAGAGGCATCTGATTTATGCTGCTACTTATCTGATCACACGATCTGTAGCTTTAGTCCAGTGTTACCACTGTCTCCTCCAGGTTAAAAGGTTGCGGGTTCAAGGCTGACTCCCACCACTTGACTACATTCCCAGCACTTGGCTGCTGGGGTCAAACAAGGGTCACAACTCTGCACTGTGTGGAGAACGGTCACCAAGGAGAAACTTTCTACAAGTTGGCCAACAAGTTGCTGGAGGGTGGCCTTGCCACCCAATTTAGGGACAGCGAGCAGCATCTCAAAGCCGGAGGGTCATTAGGAAGCCCCCAACCAACACCAAGTTCAGAAGGGGGTGCAGCCTCCAAGTGAGAGAGGGGAAGTGGGGGGTGCCTCAATTCATAACAACCTTTTAAATTCAGCAGCTGGGCTAATCTTCTCTGTAGCACTATCACGGTGGATGAGAACCTGTCTACAGTACAGCCTGTACTATATATCATCGTCCACACATGTTTGTCATTATTTATGGAATCTTACCATTGCTGCCTAAACAAGTGACTGCACTCCAAAGTAGTTGATCGTCCCTCACGTACTTGATTTACATTGAAGATGTGACAAGTGGAATGTGTGTGTATTTTTGGTCTCCTTGTCGTAAACGTACTGTTGATGGTTCAGAGAAGTTTACAAGATTGATATCTCGAATGAGTAGGTCTGTTATGAGGATGGACAGACTGGGTTTGTTTCCACTGGATTTTACAAGAACAAGGACTGACTTGATTGTAGTATGTAAGATCTTCACAAAACAGATGAATAAGGGATATTTCTTTCCATGAGTGAAGCTAGAACGAGAGGGCACGGTTTTAAAATTAGGGGTCAACGCTTTAGGACAGAGATGAAGAGAATGTCTTGCTCTGAGTGCCTCTGGGATCCTCAATCTCAGAAGGTGGTGAAGGTGAGGGTCATTGAATATTTTTTAATGGAGGTAGAGGGATTCTTTTTCAGAGGGGGATCAAAGGTTATCGGGGGAAGTAAATGGGAATGTGGAATCTGTTACACAAACAGATCAGTCATGATTTTACCAATTACAGAACAAGCTCAAGGGCTGAATGGCCAACCTCTGTTTCTACATTCAGTATAACATGTTTGACGATCATTCATGGCATGTGGGTGTCTCTGGCCAGGCCAGCATTTATTGCCCATCCCTAACTGTCCAGAGGGTAGTTAAGAGGCAACCACACTACTGTGAGTCTGGAGTCACATGTGGGACACGCCTTGTAAGGACAGCAGATTTCCTTCCTTAGAGGACACTGGTGAATGAGATAGGTTTTTCAAATACAATTAAATATTCTAAATTATTTCTTTATGTATTTATTCCACATCCACAATGATGACTGTTGTATAAGGGACTAAGTCAGACTGTGTGATATGCTAACAAGACACAGCATATATTGTAACACAAAGTAATGCAGTATCACATGGTATGCATCTTGCCACAGGACCGCAAGGGAAAGCAATAAACAGTAAAATGTTTCAGAAGTAAAGGTGATGTTTTGCTTCCCTCAACAGACTCAAAATATTTTTTAGAGGCCTGATGAAGGGTTTTGACCTGAAACGTTGATTTGCCTGCTCCTCGGATGCTGTCTGACCTGCTCCGCTTTTCCAGCTCCACATATTTCGACTCTAGCTTCCAGCATCTGAAGTCCTTTCTGTCTCCCAATATTCCTGCATCTGAAAGGGCTCCCAAGATTGAGTTAGTATTCCCAAACCATTATTGTGGATGCACACCACCAGTACCCATAATTTTGATATAGCAACTTTTATTTAAGCAACATTTTAGGGTAGCACGGTTAGCATTGCGGTCTCACAGCATTAGGGACCTGGGTTCAATTCCAGCCTCAGCGACTGTGTGGAATTTGCACATTTTCCTCTGGGTGCTCCAGTTTCCTCCCGCTATCTAAAGATGTGCAGGTTAGGTGGATTGACCATGCTAAATTGCCCATAGTGTCCAGGGATGTGTAGGTTAGGAGGATTAGCCATGGGAAATATAGAGTAAGGGGTGGGATGGGGGGAGTCTTGGTAGGATGCTCTTCGGAGAGTTGGTGTGGACTTTTTGGGTCGAATGGCCTGTTTCCACACTGAAGGGATACTATGAACAACTTTATGTAGTAAAAATCCCAAAGCACTTCACAGGAGCATAATCAGATACAGTTGGACAATGAGTCACATAAGGAAGATGGGTGACTTTTGCTCAGACAAAGAGGGGTTTTAAGAAGCTTCTTGACCGAGAGACAGAGAGATTTAGGGAGATAATAGCAGAGGGAACAATGAAAATTGGAGATGCTCATCTGTAGTGTTAAAGGGAAAATCTTGAATTGCTGTTTTAGGGCAGATTAAGGGAATTTTACTCCAAGAGGAATCTGTGCTACCAACGATTTTGGTAGGAGCTGCCAGGTGCAAAAAACAGTAAAATGTTAATATTTTCCCACAACACTGAAACTTTGTTCTGCAAAGTAAACATTCCTTCAATAAAACAGCATTGGAATTTTAAATTATTTCTTTAAATGCAACAAACTTTTAAGTATTAGAAAGAAACTTTGCTAGCCACACTGTGTGAAGTACAATTGCTACTTAAAACAAAGCTGGCTTTATGGTCCATTAAGAATGTCGAGAATGTCTCACTGTTTGAACAACATATCTTTAACAGAATTATTTGAAGAACATATTTAAGATTATCATCAGATCCTCGTAACATTTTAAAAAAATGTTGCTGCATTTCCCTGATCTTTGATTTCAAGGGATGTAACCCTCAGTGTGTAACTGTTTTGTAAAAGATATTTTACTATGTAACCATTAAGAGACTGATTAGGAGTCAAGTGTCACCAATGAATATAACTTAAAATGCTAATGTAATACAGGTTTTTTCTCCCCCTAAAGAAAGGTACCTGCATTTCTATAGCAGCTTTCAGGATGTTCAGACACTTTACAGTCAATAAAGTATAAGTGTGGTCCCAGTTGTAACGTAGAAATTGTGGTAACCAAGGTGCACCTAGAAAGCTCCCAAATCAGCATGATTTTCTGGTTTCACATGTTAATTGACAGGCAGATGTCAGGGAGAACTTCTTGGTGTTATTTAAAAAAAAGGGCCACAGGATCTTTTATATACCACCCAAGAAGTCTTAGTCTAACATTTCGCTTGAAAGATGGCACGTTGGCAATCAAACAAATCCTCAGTACTGCACTGGAAGCGTCAGCCTAGATTTAAGGTCAAGTCTCTGGAGTAGGATGCAAAACCACAACCTTTTTAATTCCGAGGACAGAGGACACTACTAACTGCTTTGGGCGATAAATAATTGTAAACAGTTTATAAACTGTCTATGGCTGTCTCCCTGTTCACAGTGTGCAGTGTAACTGGAGCCAGAAATCAAATAAAAGCTTTGTAGGTCAGTCACTCACAAACAGTAGTCAATTAATAACTACATTTTAAACTTTGGCAGAACATTTCTTTTTCAAAAATGATAAACATTGCAAGGCACGGAACACAACACAAATAGATGGGTGCCAAGGTGATGGACACGTAAATCGCTGGACACTGAGTAGTGCGCAAACTTTTTGGGTTCTGTATCAAAGACGCAGAGGTACAGGATAAAAAGCAAGAAAAAGGCCATTAATCATAGGATTAGAAATAGGCTATTGCGTCCATCCAATCTACTCTGCCATTCAAAGAGATCATGGCAGATCTAATAATCCTCAACAATTGTCATTTCTGAAGAAGGGTCTAGACCCGAAATGTCAGCTTTCCTGCTCCTCTGATGCTGCTTGGCCTGCTGTGTTCATCCAGCTCCACACCTTGTTATATCACTCAACTCCACTCTCCTGCTTTGTCCCCATAACCTTGATTCCCTCACTTATTAAAATCTGTCCACTTCTAAATGACCAGAATTGAGAGATTTTACAACAATCAGAAAAACTAAACAAATCTCTGCTATACAAAGATGGTGGCCCAATAGTTTCTATATATTAGACCAAGATTCAATAACTTAGAAATATTCGAAATATAGGAACGGGAGCAGGCCATTCAGCCCTGGAGCTTGTTCTGCCATTCAATAAGATCATGGTTAATCGAGACTGTGACCCAGGTGCTAGAATCTTCAACTGGTGGAATATCAGTGCCATTAAATAGCTCAACCTGAACGAAAAAAAGCTAGGGGCCATGAATATAAGGTAGTTGATAATCCAACGTGGAACTTGGACGACACCTCTTAACCCAGAAAAAAGTGGAACTCGCTACCACAAGGAATATCTGAAGCAAATAACACAGGCTTATTTAAGGGGAAGGTATATAAACATACAAGAGAGAATGGAATTGAGGAGAAACATATGAATCAGAACAGGAATGAGACATTGGCATCTCAAGCCTGCTTTGCAATTCAATGCGATAATTTGTTATCTGATTATAGCATCAATTCCACATTCCGTCTTACATTGCACCCCCCCAAATAATCCTTATTCCTTTATTTTCCTAGTTCAAACTACGAAAGATATTAAAGTAAACTATTACCTATTTCTTTATTCTTCTACTACTCTATGGAGTAATGCCTAATGTTTTAACTCTTGTTTCTCTTACTACTTTGTATCTATTTTTTTTTAGGTACTTAAGATGGTACTATGTGTGGCAACATTATACACTTTTCACTGTACGCCTGTACTTGAGTATTCGTGACAATAAAACCTAAAATCTAATCTTTGACTCTCTTGTTAATCAAGAATCTATCCGTCTCTGCCTTGAACATACTGTCATGTGGCCGAATGGCCCGAGTAGGTGCTGTACATTAAGAGTGAACAATTGGCTTGCAAGCCAAATATCGGAAGCTTTCAGAAAAACATCAGTGAATAAAGCCAAGCACTGGAGCATTGGAGCCTGAGGGGTGACCTTATAGAGATTTATAAAATCATAAAAGAGGCATGGATAAGGGAGTCCAATGCGAGAGGGCATAGGTTTAAGCTAAGAGGGGAAGGATTTAAAAGGGACCTAAGGAGTAACCTTTTCATGCAGAGGGTGGTGTATGTATGGAATGAGCTGCCAGAGGAAGTGGTGGAGGCTGGTACAATTACGACATTTAAAAGGCACCTGTATGGGTATATGAATAGGAAAGGTTTAGAAGGATATGGACCAAATGCTGGCAAATGGGACTAGATTAATTTAGGATACCTGGTCAGCACCGACAAGTTACACCAGAAGGTCTGTTTCCATGCTGTACAGCTTCTATGAATCTACTGAGAAAGCCGCACATCTGAAATACAAGCAGAAAGTACTGGAGAAACTCAGCAGGTCTTGCAGCATCTCTGGAGAGAGAGAAACAAGAGTTATATCCCAGTCATAAATGACTCAAAATGTTAACTCTGCTTTCTCTCTCCAGATTGCTGCCAGACCTGCTGAATATCTCCAGCACTAAGCTGTTCATATTTCAGAACACAAATAGTTTGTAATAAATTTCCCGAAGCATGTTTCATGACCGTTCCCTCCCTACACCCACCACAAGGAACTGAAACTAACCTCCCAGACTGTTTAGCAAAACTCACTGCCCGTTTTAAATGCATTGCCATCCTCATTCTCCAGTGGAGTTGGAGACTCCGTCTTCTCTCTGGGAAATTTTTGGGGGGGTGGGTAGAAAACGAGAAAATTAAATCGAAGCACACCTTCGATCCATTTCAGTTCAGACTAGCCAACATATTATTTCTGCCTCAGTTTTCGACTCCCACAACCGATGAGGGGCACTTTAAAGATAAAGTTCAGTTTGATTTGCACTGAACAAAAACTCTTGTTTGTCGCACTGTGAAATTTAGTTATCGAAAACAAGTTTGTCTGTGTGCGTATTGGGGGGTGGGGGGGGGAGTTGAATCAAGAAAACACAAGTTTATCCACTTTCCGTAAACAACTTAGTTACATCCGGAAAATTGTACATTGGTTTCCAAAATAATATAAAGCTAAATGATGCAATACAAACTATCAACTGCATTATTTTATAAACATATATATATAATAACGTTGCCGTTTACCTCTTTCCATTAGACAACAGCAGAAGACAAGGCTCCCTTCCAAAAGCGTCTCTTTGGGCTTCTGAAGTCCCTAACCTCCCGAGAGTCTGAGTCTTAAAGGTAAAGTCCACCCAATGCAACCCACCCCCTCCCACTCCGTGTTACATAACCCATTGCAGGAGGAGGAGCACTTTAAGAGGATGTGCTCCATTGCCCAGGTACACTGGCTGTGGCGGTGGATCAAGGTGATCTGTTGCTTTGGTGACTGTTCTGTAGCACTGTCTTCCCGAATACACAATGGCAAATGTTCCAGTGGGTGTGGCGCTTATACCAATGACTTATCTTGTGCGCTAGGTTTGTGCAAGGGGAAAACTTAAACAAAAGTAGTTTTCAGCTACTTTGTTCTCTTTGAAAACCTTCAGCTGCTTTACCATAACCTTTTGGCTTGGGTATTGCTGGGGAGGGGGAGGGGGTGTGGGGGAAGATATGCATTTGTCGAGGTTTTGTTTAGTCTTCCACTCATCAGAAGAATTCGCAAGAAATACCACAGTTAAGGAAAGCAACATTTAGAGTTATACGGCATGGAAACAGACCCTTCGGTCCATCTCGTCTGTGTCGACCAGATATTCTAAATTAATCTAGTCCCATTTGCCAGCATTTGGTCCATATCCCTCTAAACCCTTCCTATTCATGTACCCAACCAAATACCTTTCAAATGTTGTAATTGTAACAGCCTCCTACTTCCTCTGGCAGTTCATTCCATAGAGGCACCATCCTCTGTGTGGAAAAGTTGCCCCTTTGGACCCTTTTAAATCTTTCCCTTCTCAAAACCTATGCCCTCTAGTTTTGGACTCCCCCACCCTGGGGAAAAGACCATGGCTATTCACCCTATCCATGCTCCTCATGATTCTATTAGTTCACCACTCAGTCTCCGATGCTCCGGGGAAAATAGTCCCAGCCTATTCAGCCTCTCTCTATAGCTCAAACCCTCCAACCCTGTAAACATCTTTGTAAATCTTTTCTGTATCTTTCACGTTTAACAACATCTTTCCTATAACAGGGAGACCAGAACTGAATGCAGTATTCCAAAAGTGTCCTCTACAGCCACGATGTGACCTCCCAACTCCTGTTCTCCATGCACTGGCCAATAAAGGCAAGCATATCAAACACTTTCTTCACTATCCTGTCTACCTGTGACTCCACTGTCAAGGAACTATGAACCTGCACCCCAAGGTCTCCTCAGGACCCTTGCCACTAAGTGTATAAGTCCTGATTTGCCTTTCCAAAATGCAGCACTTCACATTCATTTAAATTAAACTCCATCTGCTACTCCTTGGCCCATCGGCCCATCTGATCAAGATCTCCTTGTACTCTGAGGTAACTTGTATAAGACCATAAGAAATAGGAACAGGAGTAGATTGTTTGGCTCTCCAAACCTATTCCACCATTCAGTTGGATCATTGGCAGATCCAACATATCTCACATCCAATTTCCCATCCTTTTACCATAACCTTGATTCCCCAAATCAAGAATCTATCTCAGCTTCATATGCTGTATGCCCCCAACCAACGCCCAAAAATTTATATCAAAAACAGAAAGTGCAGGAGAAGCTCAGTAGGTCCGCCAGCATCTGTGGAGAGAGAAGCAGAGTTAACATTTTAAGACCGGTGTGACCCTTCACCAGAAGGGTCTACGATAATTTGTTCTTGTTAGACACCAGAATGAAAGGCTATTAAGGTAAATGGGAATATGGATTTCGAAACACAAATACATCATTTACAGGAAGGTACAAAAATAGAAGTTGCTGGAGAAACTCAGCAGGTCTGGCAGCATCTGTGGAGAGAAATCAGAGTTAATGTTTCAGGTTCTGATGAAGGGTCCCTGGACCCGAAATGTTAACTCTGATTTCTCTTTACAGATGCTGCCAGATCTGCCAGCAATTTCTATTTATCCTCCTAATTTCCAGCATTCGCAATTCTTTCGGTTTGTTTTTATTTACAGGGAGGTGATGGGATCGGGGTGCTGTCTCTAGATGAGTAATCCCAAACCTCAGGATAATGTTCTGGGGATATCGGTTTGAATCCTATCATGGTCAGATGGTGAAATTTCAATTCGATAAAATCCAGAAATAAAAAACCAGCCTTCTGTTGTTATAAAAACCCATCTAGTTCACTGATAACACAGTGTGGAGCCGGAGGAACGCAGCAGGCCAGACAGCATCAGAAGAGCAGGAAAGCTGACGTTTCGGGTTGGGACCTTTCTTCAGAAAAATGTTCCTGCTCCTCTGATGCTGCCTGGTCTGCTGTGTTCCTCCAGCTCCACACGGTGTTATCTCTGACTCCAGCATCTGCAGCTCATGCTATCCCATCTAGTTCACTAATGTCTTTGAGGGAAAGAAAAGCTGGCTTACCTGGTCTACATGTGACTCCACACCCACAGCAATGTAGTTGACTCTTAACAATTAGGGATGGGCAATAAATACTGTCCTGGCCAGCAATGCTCACATCCCATGAAGGAATATTTAAAAAAATACTTATTGAATGGTGGATTAAGTGTGAGGGGCCAAATGTGTACTTATGCTGCTATTCTGTATGTTTGTATGAGAGGGGAGTAGCTCGCTGATTCCTCTTTGTTGGTGGTGAAGAGACAATTAATGTCTCACATTGCATTTCTCACGCACTCACACTTCACATCCTCCATACTCCCACTCACAGACACACCCCCACACTCATACACCTACTCATAACACGCACACTTGCACAATTCATAACTCCCCCTACACACCAACTCCACACATCCTTATCCCACCACCCTCTGCACACCGCCACTCTCCCACCTCACACACACACACACACACATTTGGGGAGATGATGGCCAGACTATTATTCCAATGAGGCAAGTAATGTCCTGGGGATCCAGGTTCAAATCCTGCCATGGCAGATGGTGAAGTTTGAATTCAATAAACATCTGGAATTAAGAGCCTAATGATGACCATGAATTGATTGTTGGAAAAATACTTTCATGCAGATGTTGCACTATACTAGTGGTGCTATATAAATGTAAATTACAGAACAAGCTGCCAGAGGAGGTGGTGGAGACTGGTACAATTACAACATTTAAAAGGCATCTTGAAGGGTACATGAATAGGAAAGGTTTAGATGGATATGGGCCAAATGCTGGCAAATGGGACTAGATTAATTTAGGATATCTGGTCAGCATGGAGGAGTTGGACCGAAGGGTCTATTTCTGTGCTCTACAGCAAAGGAATGGGCCCAGAGTATGCCAGACTGGATGGAGTTTTTAATCAAAGGATTAATCAAAGCCCATTTGGCTAAAATCAGTGAGAGCAAAGTCTGAAAGTATAAGATGGAACGCAGGTCAATGCATTTTTAACTGTGTGCACCTTCGAGGTGTGTTTGAAGTTTAACATTGGCAGCTAAAGGAACCAGCCTTTGTATAATATATCACCATGGTTGTGAAAAGACATATAATCCATTATGACTTTGAAGTCTACTTTGTTTGTTTTGTGCAGCAGTTTGATTGGCTAGTGGTTGCTGCCTGGATTCACGACAACAAACTGAGCAGGTTGTGTGAATCGCATTTCCAAACCAAAAACAGGCGATCTGAGATCAAGGGCTGCTTTTGGATTTCAGTACAAAGTGCCTGTTTACCATTCCATTTGAGGCAGCATTCCTCCTGCAGTCAAGGCACAGGTAATATTACACTGAGTGAATTGTGAATTCTTTTGTTGCTCGTAGCTGTCTTTCCAAGCAATGGATCAGAGGAAACCATTAGGATCTGTCTTCCTGCTGAAATTAAATGGGCATCCATTCAGTTATCAGATCTGCCTGGTGCCTCAAATGCATGTAAGTATAGTCTTGTACAAGTAAGAGATGCCTTTGGCTTGTTTGTTGGTTACAGTCACACTCCAATGTTGCTCATTTTCTTCATCTGCTACTGTACAAAACCGAACTGCGTTTGTGACTATGTATATACATAAAGTATTTTTTATGAATAAAGTATACTTTTGAAAGAAAAAAGACATTTGACCTGGAAAGGTTACTCCTTTCGCATTACTTAAGCGCAGCAATGTTTAAATTTTCTCCCTCTGTCTCTGTTGTAGGACCTGCTTGAATTTTGTTTCTGTCCAGTGGCATTTGAAGTGGGGAGAGCAGTTGCAAAAGCTCTTTGCAAAAAGAAAAAAGACTGAAGTATGCATAGGTCACGGTTGAGAATCGAAGACAAGGAGCTTGACTTTGAGTTTGAAATCATCAATGTTCAGTTTAATGAGGTGGGACGATACATCTTGAGACTGACAGTGGAAAACCCACTTCTGGAAGGTTCTGGGACAGGGGTGCGGCTACAAGTGAATGATGGTGATATGTTATCCACCAACACAGGAGCCACTGATGTCATTGCACAGACCAATGTTAATGAAATCCAGGCTGTCCTCAAAAAAAAATTCATCTTCAGGCTTCCTAAAGGTAAAATTATTTTAACAATTGTCACGGGGAAAAGGCAGGAAAGTGGAGTGGAGATGATCCTATCAGCCATGGTGTCATTGAATGGCAGAGCAGACTCGCTGGGTTGGATAGCCTACTTCTGTTTCTATATTTTATGATGTATACATTAAAAATTCAAGTAGTGCATTTCTTTGGTCAAGAGATTTGAGCTGGTCCAGTATCTATTGCCCATCCCTAATGGCCCATTTGACATCATGTAGATAGGGTTAGTTTGTCATTATTGCTATCAATATGATGAAAGATTTCTTAGATTGCTTTCTCAAATACTGAGGGCCTATCCACAGCTTTCAGGGCTCCCCTTTTTCTACCTTGCACCTGAGCTCATCCTAAACTCTGCTACCCGTATCCTAAACTCGTGCCAAGTCCCATTTGCCAGCTGTTCCTGTGTTCATGAACTTGACATTGTTACCCTATTGAAAAATGCATACATTGAAAACCCCTATCCTTATCCTCAAATCCCTCCTTCGCCTCACCCCTCCCTCACTTTATAACCTCCTCCAGCTCCACAAACCTTTGAGATCTGCACTTCCTGTGATTCTGGCCTTTTGTGTGTCCCCAGTGACGCTGTCAGCTGCCTGAGCTCGAAGTTTAGATTTAGATTTTATTGTCAGGCGTACGCAAATGCAAAATTATACAATGTTGCCATGCATGGTGCCATCTTTGGTACTAGTACCTAAGTAAAGAACAGAGTAGAAAGAAATAAAGAAGAAAGTTAAAACTTAAACATTACAGTCAGCTTGGTTAAGTAGAAAAACAAAGAAATAAAGCTAAAAGTTAAACTTTACAGTCTTTCTTAAGCGCTTGGCCATGCTGGAACTTCTTGCGAGGGCTCAATCTCCACCACTTTGGCATGCTTTTCCTGCACGGGCTTTATCTCCCCTACTCTCAACACCGCTGCAGATGGCAGGGAACCTCAATGCCCATATAGGGCTCACTCCTGGGATCGCTGTCTGTGAATACCCTCCTTATACCTCTTGGCTATTTTACCTCGTTCTCCTCCTTTAAGATCTTCTTTAAAAGTGCAACGTCCACCTCCCCCCACCCCCACTCTTATATTGTCTAATGAGCCTCAGCTCAATTTCTCTCTGATAATGTTTCTTTGAAGCCCCTTGGGATGTTTTACTATGTTGTAGATGCTATATCAATTAAAGCTATTGTTGCTCTTACTCCACTATATATGTAAAATAAATTTTAGAATTCCAATCCACTGCCTGGCCTTTCACTTAAAACCCTCTCTCTAGTTTCTCTCCAATGACTTCAGTGGGAGAAGTGGAGCAGCCAGCCAGTGTTGTGGTACACCTTTAAGTGGGCAAAGTCGTGTTTTCTGTATAAATTACTGCAGGGGGGAATATGATGAAATGTAACATGTGATTCAGATTGCCTTAGTTTGCTGGGAGGAGCCACACATAGTTCACCAGCTTTGTAATGCTGCTACCACCTTCTCAATTGTTTAATAATGAATCCATGTATTTAAGTGTTACTCAGCTCCTCCTGCCTCATTGGCGCTTTGGTGTTCATCTGTTCATTAGCACAAAGAGAAGAAGAAAGAAAACACAACATCTTCTACCCTATTGGTCATGTCACAGTCTCCCCATGATAATCAGTATTCTACCGGTGGACTCGATGTGGGTCGTGAAGGGTCCTGCATTGGAAAATATGTTAGAGCACACTACTGATTCTTTATGTGGTTCAGTGAGTACCAGGCTTGCCTCTGGTGCTAGGTTTAAGCTCCACTTAAAAGACCTGAGCATAAGATTTAGCATGACACTTCAATGAAGCACTGAGTGACTGCAGCATTGCCAGAGGTGCTGTCTTTCAGATGATATTGGAAAGCAGCATCCTGTGTGTGCGAAAGACCCATTGGGTACTATCTGTAGAATAGAAGTGGGGGTTCACACCAATATTTACCCTAAAACCAGCCCCCAAGACAGATGATCTTCTTATTTATTTCATTGTTATTAAAGGGAGCTTACTTTATGTAAATCGATGCCAAATTTTCCAATTGTAATCATGATTTGAAATAATTAGCCGAGCAGTGCTTTCAGAGAATCTAAGCTTGGGGAAAGTGTGGTGAAGAAAAATGCAAAACTTTTCTTTGTTCTACAGGTTACTGTCAAAATGATAAGAACCATGATGTACGATTACACATTGAAGCCTTTCGAGTAACTGGCACATCCCTGAGGAGTGGAACAAAGGAAGGAGAGGCCTTTTTTGCCATCTATCCGCGCACTAACGCCCCCAGAATAAATGTTTTTGCAAAGGAAAACGAGGACTTTTACTGTTACAGCATCATTGTGGCCCTGTTACGTGTCCAGGACGATGAGCTCACAATGCATTGTGGGAGGATGGCATGTAACGTGTCCTTTCACATGGTGAGATTCCCGAAGGACATGGTGTCCCAGACTGACTCCTCGATGCTGCTGCGTGAGGAGGGAGGGCCGTCTGACCTCATCACCCCAGGCTCACACCCGCCAGCACTGCACGCGCCTTTAACTGCGTCACCACAGCAACAGGCGCCCACTCCAACATCGCCTTCATCCATCCCTCAGGTAACGAGCTGAATATATCAATGGCATTTCTGTTTGATTGATGTGAGATGTGTCTCCAGTGGCAGAGGGGTTGTGAATCTCAGTTGTTAAAGTAGTAACGTGAGATATAGATGCATGTGTAGGCCATTCAGCCCTTCCAACCTGTTCAATTAGATGAAGGCTGATCTGCATCTTAACTTCACCTATCTGTAGCTCCTTAACCCTTAAGAACTAAGCCTAACAAAACTCTATTCAACAAGGTGCAGGGCTGGATGAACACAGCAGGCCAAGCAGCATCATAGGAGCAGAGAGGCTTGCAGGGCTGGATGAACACAGCAGGCCAAGCAGCATCATAGGAGCAGAGAGGCTTGCAGGGCTGGATGAACACAGCAGGCCAAGCAGCATCATAGGAGCAGAGAGGCTCTGCAGTTCCTACTATCTTCAAAACTCTATTCATGCTGATTTTGAGATTTTCCAAACATCCTTGGCCTATCAGACATTTTCCTGGGAGAGAGATCCAGGTGTCCACTACCCTTTGTGTGAAGAATGTTGTGGAAACCCACCTCTTGCCCTAACATCTTTCAGAGGGTGGTGGCCACGTTGAAAAGACATCACCGATCTTGGCAAGATTCCATCTGCTGAGAAACCCACCACCCTGACCTGGGCTGGCCCACCCAGCATTCCAATGACACGTTATGATTGACTCTTAACCATCCTTTGAACGTAAGAAACAGGAGCGGGAGTAGGCCAAATGGCCTGCTCTGCCATTCATTAAGATCATGGCTGATCTTTTTGTAGTCTTAGCTCTACTTACCTACCCATTCACTGTAACCCTTAATTCCTTACCTGTTTAAAAATCTATCTTTGTCTTTAAAAATTCAACGAGGTAGCCTCAAGCTGCTTCACTGGGCAGGGAATTCCACAGATTCACAACCCTCTGGGTGAAAAAATTCCTCCTCAACTCAGTCCCAAATCTGCTCCCCCTTATTTTGAGGCTATGCCCCCTAGTTCTAATTTCACCCGCCAGTGGAAACAACCTCCTTATCTTATCTATTCCCCTCACAATTTTATATGTTTCTGTAAGATCCCACCTCTCTTTCCTCCAAATTCCAATGAATATAATCCCAGTCTCAATCTCTCCTCATAAACCAACCTAGTAAACCTCCTCCGCACCCCCTCCAGTGCCAGTACATCCTTTCTAAAGTAAGGAGACCAAAACTGCACGCAGTACTCCAGGTGTAGCTTCGTCAGGACCCCATACAGCTGCAGCACAACTTCCCTGTTTTTAAACTCCTTCCCTCTAGCAATGAAGGACAATATTCCATTTGCCTTATTAATTACCGGTTGTATCTGCAAACCAGGAGATAGCAAGAACTGAAGTTGCTGGAGTGAGAGTCGATACAGTGTGGAGCTGGAGGAACACAGCAGGTCAGGTAGCATTAAACGAATAGGAGAGTTATTGTTTTGAGCCTACACCTTTGTTGCCTGATGTGCTGTGTTCCTCCAGGTCCACACTGTATCACGCCTGCAAACCAATTTTTTGTGTTGATGCTTGATGATACTAAGCCTCTGCTGACAATTTGTAAATTATTATCATCTTAGAATCTATTCGATCATCACAAAAGGCCAGGCCTGGCCAAACATTTGGCTAGCTTTTGCCTAACGCTTGTGTGTAATATTTATAAATACCAGAAGACAGTTGTAAGATTTTGTTACAGATACCAGCTGAATATTTGTAAATAATTTTAAGATTGATGAATATGTTTATTAAGAAACATGAGTTTAAATAGCCAAATACAGCTTGTTTTACATTTATTTGTTCAGGAGATGTGGGCATTGCTTGCAAGGCTAGCATTTATTAACTAACCCTAATCATTTTGGAACTGAATGGCATGCTAGACCATTTCAGAGGTTAAGAGTAAATTACATTGCTGTAGGTCTGGACCACATGTGAGGCCAGACTGGGTAAAGTTGGCAGATTTGCTTCCCTAAAGGACATTAGTAAACACGACAGGCTATTTAGCACAGTTCACAGAAGCTGTGTGGTCACCACTAGTCTGGCTTTTCATAGAATCCCTACAATGCATGGAGAGACAGTTTGGTCCATTGAGTCTGCACCAACCCTCTCTGACAAGCATCCCACCCGCATCCAGCCCCCCAATCTTATCCACATTTCCCGTGGCTAGCCCAGCTAGCCTGCACATCCTTGGACTCTATGAGGCAATTTAGTGTTGCCAATCCATCTAACCTGTATGTCTTTGGACTGTGGGAGGAAACCGGAGCACCCAGAGGAAGCTCATGGAGACACGGAGAGAACCTCCACATAGACAATCGCCCGAGGCTGGAATCGAACCCAGGTCCCTGGCGCAGTGAGGTATCAGTGCTAACTCGCCCTTATTTTTATTGAATTCAAATTTCACAACCTGTCATGAGAGAGATTTGAACCCATGTCCTATGAACATTAGCTTGTAGTTCTGGATTACCAGTCCAGTGACAGACCACCACCTCCTTGCAAAAGGGACTTGTGGTACCGAGTGTCATTTTAGCTGCTTATGATGATAGCTTTCTGTTCTCTAGCCAGTTTTGGGGAATTCCTTGCCAAATCTTGCCAGGTCCATCTTCTACCTGAAGGAGGGCAGTTCCTTGACGATCACTGCTCCCTGTCTCTTTCAACTGATGTTTGTTCATTGGTTGAGGGCATCACTGGCTGGGCCAGCATTTATTGCCCATCCCTAATGACCCTGAAGATGATCTGCTTTCATGAATCACTGTAGCCCATGTGGTACAGGTTCATCCACAGAGGAGGGAGGGCCAGGATTTTAACCATTTAATGTTTATTAGTGTTCTTTTGTTTCAACACCTCATCCGCAGGATGAAACTGTAGAAGAAACCAATGCGAGGCCTCCTGAAGAAAGTCCGTCTCCTAGTCTAGCAGAAGTGTGTACCAGACATCAACGGCTGCCAAGTGATTCCAGCTTCCATCTTTCGTCACCTGCGGGTACTCCTGTGAGGATGCCTGAAGGACCTCCTTACACACACGTGAGTCACCATGGAGATTCTCAAGGGGGTGATCTGATTGAGGTGTTCAAGATTTGAATAGATTTGAAAGGGTGTGTGGGCAAGAACAAAGAGACACAGTTTTGAATTTGGTCATTCACTGTGATGTCGAGAAATTCTTTTTCGCACAAAAATGGTAGTGGAAGCCTAGAACTCTCTCCCCTAACAGGCTGGGGATATTGGACCTTTCCTGGATCACATGGATAGTTTATTTTTGTTGCTCGGTTTCCCATCTGAGGTAAACATGAGGTCATCCAAAATTCTGCTGCACAGTGAGACCTGTCTCCCCCCACCGTCCCCCCTGTTGGCTCACAAACCATTCACCCCCACCCCCATCGTCCCCTGTGTTGGCTCACAAACCATTCACCCACCCCCCCACCATCCACTGGCTCTTTGTCCCACGTAACATCTTGATTTAAAAATTCTCCTGCTCTTTTTGTGGGATGTTGGCATCACTGGCAAGACTAGCATTTGATGCCCATTGCCAATTGAACTGTATTGGCTTGCTAGGGCAGAGAGCAATTAAGGGACAACCATATTGCTGTGGGTCTGGAGTCACATGCAAGTCAGACTAGGTAAGGATGGCCGATTTCCTGCCCTAAAAGACATTAGTGAACCAGATGGTTGTTTACAATAATTGGCAATGGTTTCTTGATCATCCTTAGATTCTGTCATTGACTATGATAGGATGTTAACCTACAGCCCCAGCTGTTATCTTGGACTCTATATTGCTAGCCCAGTGTCCAATTCACCACTACCTTTTCATTCTGATGGATTCCGTTGCAGTGGGCTTCTGTCGTGGACAACCTGCAGTCCCAGCAATGGCCACTGGTGGTGATGTCGAGACTGGTGAGCTGCTGGCCATTTGACGTGGGGGAGGTGGGCAGCTCTTGGAGGCAGGACCTCTTCCTCAAGAGTGGACGGTCTCCCTCCAGGCTGTTAAAGGTGTGCGAGGCTGTATGTTGGGATGTAGGGAGGGCCAGCCAAGTGGAGGGGGCTAAGCCTCGGTTTTATACCCAGGTGGGTGGGACACTGCACCCAATGTAAAACCCAGCCTTTGAAGTTCTGGCCATATTATCATTGAAAGGGCATTGAGAGACTGAAGAATGTGTAGCTGAGGGAATAATGTAAGTGCATTACATTGGGAATTAGTCAGACTATATGTGGCACGGTGGCTCAGTGGTTAGCACTGCTGCCTCACAGCGCCAGGGGCCTGGGTTTGATTCTCCCTTGGGCAACTTGACTGTGTGGAGTTTGCACATTCTCCCCATGTCTGCGCTGGCTTCCTCCGGGTGCTCCAGTTTCCTCCCACAGTTCAAAGATGTGCAGGTTAGGTGAATTGGCCATGCTAAATTGCCCAGAGCGTTCAGGGATATGTAGCTTATGTGAGTTATCGGGGTATGCGTCTGAGTGGGATGCTCTGAGGTGTGCACTTGTTGGGCTGAAGGGCCTGTTTCTAGGGATTCTATAGAGTGCTGATAGGGTGAGATGAAGGTGAGTGGGAGGATACGTAAGAGAAACATAAATGTGGACTTGGCCATTTTTTGTTTGATGGCTACTTGTTTTTATTCATTCATGGGATATGGACGTTTTGACCATCCCTAATTGCCCAGAGGGCATTTAATCAGATTAGGATATCTGGTCGGCATGGAAAAATTGGACTGAGGGGCCTGTTTCCAGGCTGTACAACTATATGACTCTAAGAGTCATTGCTTTTAGTCTACTTAAGAACATCAGAAATAGGAGCAGGAGTAGGCCATCTGCCCCATCGAACCTGCTGTGCCATTCAATAAGATCATGGCTGATCTTTTCATGGACTCAGCTCCACTTACCTGCCCGCTCACCCTAACCCTTAATTCCTTTACTGATCAAAAATCTATCTTTACCTTAAAAAATTCAAAGGGGCAGCCTCGAACTGCTTCACTGGGTAGGGACTTCCACAGATTCACAACCCTTTGGGTGAAGAAGTTTCTCCTCAGCTCAGTCCTAAATCTGCTCTCCCTTATTTTGAGGCTATGCCCCATAATTCTAGTTTCACCCTCTAGTGGAAACAACCCTCCTGCTTCTATCTTATCTGTTCCCTTAGTAATTTCATATGTTCCAATAAGACTCCCCCCCTCTCCCCGAGCCACGTATAAGCCAGACCAGATAAGAACATCAGTTTGTTCTCTAAAAGGCAATAATGAACCAGACGAGTTCTTTTCCTGACAATTGACAACAGTTTCATTATACTCTGAATTCCAGAATTTTTATTGAATTCAAATTCCAGCATCTGCCAAGGTAAGATTCAAATCCAGGTCCCCAGAAGTGAGTATAGTGAGTATAGTGATAAAATCCATTAGGCCATCACTTTAGTTACTTAGAAACTACTCTGCTCTACATTCAATGGCTGTATCAGAGGGCAACTATACTCCAGAAAGTCAGGGAGGAGGAGAATAGAACTCAGGAGGACAGGTGCTGAGCCTTTGCTGCCTTGCATTCAGGTAGCAGGAGCACTGCCATCAAGGAGGCAAAAACAGATGGGGAGGGCTTCTGTTTCTCTGCACAATACTTTTCCCATTTCAATTAAAAAATGTGGCCTTGAAATGTTGCTTTCACAGAAAACACATTTTGTAAAACCTCTGCCAAAGACGAGGGAGCGCTTGTTATGCATTGAAGTAGATCAATCTCACCTCGTTTACTGGCAAATTGTAATCAATGAACCTTGTGACAGTCACTTACAAAATAATTGGATTTATGGGTCAGTTTCCCTTCCCTCCTCCCAACCACATCTGATTCTTTTCTTAATGGCAAGGCTAAAATGCAACCTGGATTGTTCTCTGTCAGTTTCATCATTCATTCCGAGGAATGTGGGTATCGCTGGGAAAACTGACATTTATTGTGTGTGGATGCTGATAGCACTTGTATCTTGCACCAACCTGGCCCTCAGTGGCTGCAGTTCTCCTGGAATAATATTAATTTTATTCTGCGTCCTGGTGTCATTGCCTGAAATTTTTCCAAAATTCTTTTTCAATGCACCCAGCCTGTTGATTGTGGACCTATTTCTGGAGGCACAGGAATAGAAGCATTTCAAAGGATGCTTAAATTTGTTTCCTCATGCTTTTCCGGTTTGATTAGCACCTCACTCTATTTTGCCGGTGCAGAAAGCAATGTGTCGCATGTTCCAGGCAATCACCATCTCCAACAGGAGAGAATCTAACTCTCACTCTTTTGACATTCAATGACGTTGCAATCATTGAATCTCTGACTATGAATGTCGCCTAGGTTACCATTGAAGCCTGACACCATCCAGGACAAAGCGGCTTGCTTTATTGGCACAATATCTACAAGCATTCAGTTCCCCCACCTCTGACGCTCAGTACAGCAGTGTGTACCATCTACAAAATGCACTGCAGAAATTCATCAAGGTTCCTTAGATCGTACCTTACAAACCTATTCTCCGCTTCCATCCAGAAGGACAAGGGCAGCAGATACATGGGAACACCACCCCCTGCAAGTTCCCCTTTGAGCCACTCACCATCCTGACGTGGAAATATATTGCCATTCCTTCAGTGTCATTAGGTCAAAATCCTGGAACTCCCTCCCTAAGGGCACTGTGGATGTACCTAAACATATGAACTGCAGAAGTTCAAGAAGGCAGCTCACCATCACCTTCTCAAAGGGCAACAGGCAATAACTGTTGGCCCAGCCAGCAATGCCCACATCCCATGAGTGAATAAAAACAATCTTGAATTTCTTTAGCACCTTTGATGACCTCAGCACAACCCAAAGTGCTTTACAGCCAACAAAGTATTTTCTGAAATGGGTCACTGTTGGAATGTAGCAATGTAAGACACTGTAAGGTTGTGATAAAAACACTCTCTTGCCTTTCAGTGCAGCACAGGCAATGCTGGGATATCATAATGTCACTGGACTAGCAATCCTTGCGGATAGGTGGGTTCAATTAACAGCAGCTAATAAGCTCAATTGATTAATAAAACAAAAACCTCTGCAACTGAAAGCTAGCCTCAGTAATGGGCAATTGAACTATCATCAACTGTTATAAAAACCCATCTGGTTTGCTAATGTCCTTCAGGGGAAGAAATCTGCCATTGTTACCCAGTCTGGCCTCGTTGGCAAGACCAGCTTATGACACTCATCCCTAATTGCCCCTTGAACTGAATACCTTGGTATACCTATTTCAGAGAATGATCTGGAGTCCCATACAGTTCAAGCCGAGTAAAGGTGGTAGATTTTCTTCCCTAAAGGCCATTATCAAACCAAATGAGTTTTTACAATAGGGGATGGTGGTTGCACGGTCACCATCACTGAGACTCGCTCTATATTCCAGTGTTATTTATTGTATTCAAATTCCTCCAGCTGCCCTGACGGGTTTGAATACATTTCTCCAGATTGCTAGTCCGAATGTCTGGATTACTAGTCTAGCAAAATCACCACAATGCCACAATCTCCTTATATTCAATGAGTTTGGAAGCTACTCTCAGTAATGATGACCATTACAACAATGATTGATTGTTGCGAAAACTAATTCTCTTTAAGGAAGGAAATCTGCCATCCTTATCTGGTCTGGTCTACATGTGACTCCAGATCCATAGCAATGCAGTTGACTCATAACCTCCCACTGAAAGGTGTAGCAAGCCACCTCATTCAAGGCCAATTTAGGATAGTCAACAGATACTGGCCTGGGCTGTGACACCCAGATCCCATGAAAGATTAAGGAAAAGAAAAGTTGCAAATGATCCAGAGGAGAAATGCAGAGACCTTTTGACTCTGTATTAGGATAATCAAGAATGTGCTTCCTGAAATGATGGCGGAACCAGATACAATGGGAAATTGACAAAGGTTTGAAAAGGAAACTTGCAGAAAACTGGCGAAAGAGGATTGGGACGAATTGGAGAGCCCTTTTGATTTGATTTGATTTGATTTATTGTTATCAAATGTACCTAAATACAGTTAAAAGATTTGTTTAGCAAGCAGTACAG